TGGCCACAACACACTGATCGCTATGGTAATGTTTAATGCCTTCAAAATACGATACAACACAAATTCAAAGTGCATGAAAATGACGACTCACCACAGCCCCGAGCTTGATTTTCTGCAACCAGACGGTCCCATCTCGGGGTAATAGGAGACAATGACATCTCAAGAGTGGGGATTACGTCCAGTCTACTTCGTAATTTTGTTTTAGTCGCCGTTGCTGCAGAAAACCCCCGCCTCACACAGGTAGGATGTCGGATATAGCAACAGGGCTATTGTGGCGATCTCAGAGTATTCAGCCATAACTTTAATCCACTTGTCTCGAACGTACTTTTAAGGCCGCCGTCATTTGCGATCTCCAGCAGTTTTTTTACTCATTTTGCGAGCTCCAGTGTTTTGTTTTTAGTGTAATTGGTCACGTGACGGAGAAGCGTGGCTTGATGTGTGTCAAGCATGACACAGACGGATGTAACGGAGAATCTGGTAAATTTTCAAAATAAAACATCTTTCGTATTCCGAAATAAATAAAACGGAATTAAGGCAAGTTCTTTCTGTGCGGCCTGGTACCAAATGCCCTGCGGACCGGTATCGGTCCGCGGACCGGCGGTTGGGGACCCCTGGTATAGAATACAAGCTACAATAGTGGCTGCGGGTGCACTATGCATCCACTAGATGGTGCTACGTGAAAGGGAATACAATACAATACAATGCTGTTTTATTTCTATAGAACCTTCACAACTGCTGCAGCTGTAACAATGAGAACTGGCCACAAACACGGACATGAAACATATACAGTGGTGTGAAAAAGTTTTTGCCCCCTTCCTAATTCCTTATTTTTTTGTATGTTTGTCACACTGAAATCTTTCAGATCATGACACACCCCACACATTGCCTTGTGTCTTATTTCTTCACAATGTCTATGTGTCGCATAGTTGTGAAGTGGTGCGAGAAGAATGCTCGTTGCGGGAACTGCTGTTGATGCTCTAATGAAAGGCTCCCTCCACTCTTCAAGATGTCCTTTAGTAACTTGCAGCATGCAGCAATGGCACAATGAGTGTGCCCATGGCAGCCGAGTCAGATAAAGCTGCTCTACTAAGATGCCAGCAGGGGGTCTTTGAGCTGTCTCCGGCAGACGAGCGGAAAGGGGAGAATTTGGGGAGACGGCGCTCAGAGCAAACAAGCAAACAGTGTGTGCTGATAAACAACAATAGCAACAAGCATGCGCCTCCCGCCGCTGAGTGGCCTCGATTCAAATGCAAAGCTTTGCTCCTTCGCTTCCTCGCGAAGAACGCAGCGATTAAGAGTGGAAGGCTTTGCAGGCGTCGTTACGCTGCTTTCAACAGCAACCTTCACTTTTTTTGCCACGGGCAATTAAGCATTATTAGAACCATCATGAAAAGCTAATAATCAGGCCAGTGGCTTTCTGCTACTCTGTTAGTGTCACGCCTCTTTGTGCTATAATTCAATTTCTACAGCTCGCAAGCGCAAACAGTGACTTGCGTATAAATCAGACAAATAAAATTACCTCAGGTCAACCTCAGCAGACGGAGAGGTCTTTGTCAAGAATTGCGATGGATCTTCAACTGCTTTGTTTTGTGACCGCGTGCTGAGTTTTGACCTCATTTTTGGTAAGCCAAATAACTGGAAGACATACAGTTTACAAGTTATAAGGCTTTATTATTTGAACTTAGGAGTTGTTATGTTTGTGCCAAACTGAAAAAGAAAAAAAAATAACATTGCATGAATGTCAACAACTTTTTTTATGTATATTTTTTAGAAAAAAGGTTATTGTAATTGGTTGCTTGGATGGGAATTTTGGCAGGCATCGATAAAGGAACAATTTTCTTTAATCGTTGATTATTTTTCTTCAAAATACAGTACAGTAATTTATGATTGAAAAATTATTTCTTTTCTTTCATTTTTTTTTGTGTGAGGTTACAAGAGTTTCTCATAAAAATCTACCTTGGTTTAAGAAGTGTTTTTTCATCCTATTGTGTTTTATTCTTTAAGCCACAATGCTCAAGTGTAATTTTTCAAGGAAAAATTACTTTAAATATTTTTGGTACTGGCATGATGTAACTTACTACAGCCATAAAACCAGATAAATAACAAGCGCATTATACAAATGAATCAATTTCCCCAAAATGGAAGTTGTGACATGATGGGGAAAGCATCAGAATCAGTGTGACCCACCAGCAGAAGGCCCCAGGGATGACCCAGGATGCGCTGGAGAGACTATGTCTCCCAGCTGGCCTGGGAACGCCTCGGGATTCCCCAGGAAGAGCTGGAAGAAGTGGCTGGGTAGAGACAAGTCTGGGACACCTAGGAATTGATCACCTTTGCTGAAGTAGTGAGCCACATGTCTTTACAACTGAATGACTACACTGCTTTTGCAATTTATAGGGCAACACAAATTTAAAAAGGCCAAAGAATGCCTTCAAGAGTCTTGACGTACGGTAGGCAGGAAAACAAGAGCAAAAAAGTGTTTTGTTTCAGTCAGCTCATCGCCATAGTTCCTCACTTGCATTTGAAAATAACCATGAAATTGGTCGAACAGGAAAAGCATTTTGCGCTTCTAAAAGGGATGTACGTAAAGTTTGGGCTGAAATTTTCCTTTGAAGCAAGAAGATTAAAATCAGGTCAGATCGCCAGGCTCCGCTCACACACAATCACCTTACTTGACTGTATTACAAGCACATCTGCTTTACGGCCTGACTGTAAACACGATCCTCTCTCTTAAATCTCATTCAGGATTGCCATGTTCAAGGTAGCTGCCACCAGCATGGCTGAGAGACAAAAGACGCATTCCACTGGGAAATTTGGTTCTCAGCGTTTTAGCTGTCCCCAGTTGCAACTTGGATGCTGGCATCAGGCGTGGGCATAAACATGTCTTGTTACAAACAAATAGCCGCATCCTCAGGAGAGAAACCGCTTTTTTATGATGTGACCAGGAAACAGATATTTCTGTGGACTGGATGGCATGATTATTTAGAAAACGTTCTACTTTGTATCATTTTATGTCATTTATATAAACACAGTAAGTCACAACTATCCAGCGCTTGTCCTCATTTGGGTTGTGGGTAAATGTCTGTCTCCATTCACACACAAACACATCTTGTAAACATCTGTCAATCAACTCACATACACCTGACCGCAAACATCTGTCTCTCTATTTACATGCACAAAACTTTCATGTGTTTGCATGCATGTGTGACATGGGCTGAGTCTCACACACGCACGCACGCACGCACGCACACGCACACGCACACACACACATTTTTTTCCCTTTTATGAGCTTTTAAAATGAACAACCTAAATGGCATATTCACCACCTGGGGAAACTGACACTGCTCTTGATAGCCATTCTGTCTCTGCTGAACCTGACTGAGGTAATAAATCGAGGGTAAAGAGTCAACATCTCATCCTTTCTATAAGTAACAGAACATCACTGTATGGTCAAGTTCAACTTTGCAGCGTGAGCGAAGATCGCCACGTCATGCTTTTTTATTTTTTTTTTAACTCTTTTGTCTTTTTGTAGTGACATTTTAGAATGGTGCTAAACATATTTTGAAGGGATTAAATACCAAAAAAACCCAACCCCCCACCCCCCCAAAAAAACCAATCCATTTGTATTTGTTCCCGACCATCATGTTATTCATCACTGATTAGTGCTCAACAAAACTGGTTGAAAGCAAAAAAAAAAAAAAAAGTCAAGCGCCAACCACATTTCATTGGCATGTCAATTAAGAAATATGAATTAAATAGACAGTTTAAAAAATGTTCCCGGTAGAAGACAGAACAAGAAGTTGATAAAGATCTGATTGATCTTGATAAAGTCTGCACAAATGGCAGGTTTTTGTGACTTTTGCGAAAATTAGACAAAATAATTTCCAAACCTTTTCAACGATTAATGTGACCCACAATCCGTTTCTTTCAATTGACTTTGGTGCACTCAAAATTAATCCTGTCTTGTATGACACGCAGACAAACAGAAACATCTCAAAAACATGCTTACCTTGGATGGGTCGTGAGTCTTCACAAAGGTTTTTGGACCTCCACTTCTTGTAGGTGGCACCCATCTTTCTTTTGCTTCATCATTGGATCCTTTGATACCTGGACAAGCACCCACCGGCACGGGATAGATATCATTTCCAGGTAAGGCTTAACTGTTTCTGCACAGTTCTGGATGCAGCATTGCCATGTGAGACAGTGGGAATCATAGGAACTAGTCAAACTTGCTTCATCAGAACCACAAGGCTAACTAAATAACCCCAATAAGAGGCTAAACACTGTGATCATCAACATAATTATTTCATTTGTGTGAACTCTGGATGTCAAAAGGTGCTTACCGTTTCTTGATAGGTGAAAAATTTATGGATTGTGGACGCTTCCACAGGCGAAATGAAATGCAAAAAGATGGCCAATGGCAAAGCAACATTCTAAAAAAAAAAGTGCAGTAAGTCGCAGAGCGTCAAGCAGCCTTGTTAAGATTACAAGCACGGCCACTTCAGGCATGCAGCAGAGCGCACTTGATGACAACTCCAGTCTCTTGGTTACCTCGGCAGCACATCGAAACATGATTCTTTGTACTCTAGTAAACATCCAAAGAGAGAATGTGTAAAAAAGGTTGGGGAGCTCTGCGGCCAGTCAGGATGCCGCCATTTTGATAGGTCCTGTCAGCCACAGGCATCCACTCTGGGCTGATTTGATGTGACAGAGGGCGACTCATCAATTCGGGCGAACGGGCGATCGTGATGAAGAGGAGGTGACAGGCAAAGAAGATGGTTGAGCCACTGAAATGACAGATGACACTTTTGATGATGTGACTCAAGTGGGCATGTGAACGTCCTCAGTTAGTGGATTGGATTGGACAAAAGTCAAGATGGGGTCAACACGCTCACTTTGTAAAATAAGGAGGTCATAATGACTGATTTCGAGAAATCCTTGATACCAAGCGCCAAATCATCCAAATCCGTGTTGAAAATAAATGTGTGCATGTTCAATTCAGCTTTCAACTTTTATTGGTTGCAAAATCGTCTCCAGCTGCTGAACGAATGTCAGAAACCAGTCCACCACTCTAGAATTGAACATGGAACGCATTACTCGACATAATTGTCATTGACATTTGAACTATAAAAATGGCTATTTACACCCAATGAAAACACTTGTGTTTATCAAACTATTAAAATCTTGTAAGCATCTTTGTATAGTACAATGATTGTTGCGGCGCTTGACATTTATCTTAGCAGCATGTGTTCCCACTCCTACAAATACTCCAAGGATACTTTTTTTTAATATAAACAACGGCAAACAATCACTTCTATTTGGACCATTTTATGACCACCAAGTGAGAGTGCAGGTAAAAAAATAAAATAAACTGGCTATTTCAGTGTTAAGTGCAACACTTACGCTATGCCACTACACATCGTGATTCAGAGAATTCAAATGCTAAATCTGCTAAATGTTCTCAACAATAGAGTGAATTGCGATAAAGTGGTGGCAATTCCTCCATACAAATTCATTCCTCCGTCTTTGATTTTCTCTTGGAGGTTTTGGGTCGGGAATCCTCTGATTGGGCAAGTTCTGGGGAGCCCGGAGGATCAGAAGGCGGGCTGGGAACACTGTCCACATCTGGGTCAGGGTCAAGTGATGTGGAGGGCCCTTCGGAGCAAGACAGATACGGCAAAGTGATAAAAGTACATCATTAAAGTACAGACATATCCCTGAGTAGGGTCCAGTGCAGTTCAACATCAACAGTGTAGCTTTAGGTGACCAGTGAACCTTAACTACGATGATGCACTGTGAATGCATCGCTATATCCTCCTGACTACCAGAAAAAAAAATGTTGTCCAATCACATTTATTTTGACATTCCCCAATCTATGTGAAGTAATTGGACTCCTCCAAAAAAATTTTTGAAATCCCACTACATTTTTTAAACAGGCTCAAATACACTTAAAACAACTCAAACAACACTTTGTTCATAAGAGTCTTATAATTAAAATGCCAAAAGCATTTCAAGACAAAATGTGGTCGATAAAAAGTATTACTTTTCCTCTTCCCATAAAAAGTGCTTGCACTGAGGGAAGCCATTTTCTTACTTTTTCTAACCCCTACAAATTTCGTATCATTGGAAAGCACTGAATGTCCTCTTTAGTGTAACAAAAGGAGTTAATGCGATTGGAGGCACTGGGTGGGAGATATTGGTGCAGTTCAACTCCAACTGTGTAGTGACCAGTGAACCTTAACTACAATGATGCACTGTGAATGCATCGCTATATTGACCAACAGTTTTAATCGTTGCGGGCTGTGAACAAGACTTCAGCGGTGAAGAATAAAGCTCGTGAGATTTGCATGGTTAGAAACTAAACAGTGTCCACAGGTTCACTGGCCTTCGAATAGTGAAGTAAGGTAACAATTATTTATGTGAAGCCTTGTGTGTGTGAAACGTGGTTTTAGCCCTGGAAACTAAAAGCTCACATTATAACGTACTTGTTGGTTGCTGGATATTCTTGTTGTAGCTGGCAGCAGAAGACATGGCCTGACCCAGGGCTTGGTTAGAACCAAGAGGAGCACCCGGGCTCGGGCTGGCTGCTCCTGAGCTCAGTTTGGACTTGGAGCTCTTGGACGGTTTGGTCCATACTAGGGTCTCTGGCACCTGAAGGGCTGCTCCCATCTTCTGAGCCATTTCTATGAGCTGTGACGAGGAGGCAATCACTTAAAGATGATGTACTGGCTTTAAGAACTGCGACAGCCACATCGGCAGTTTGGGGCACCTCTGGGTCAAAGTCGACGCTGCTACTGCCGTCTCTCAGCGTGTTGACTTTTCTCTCCATTTCCTGGTACTGATTCAGCGCTCCCTTCTTGTCGGCGAGATTGTAGAGGAAGATTGCAAAGTTCAGGTTGACCAGAGGGTTTGATCTACAGAGAAACGTCAACATGAGAGAAATTCGCCGCTTCTATTTGCAGGATTAATCTGACAGGTGAGAGAGAAGATAGGAAAATTTACTGGTCCAGATTCACAGCTTGCTCATACGCTCTGGTGGCATTTTCCACATCTTCCAAGTTGGTCAAAGCCACTGTTGTCAGAGGCACAAACTTTACTTGCAGTACTATCGAGAAGGCTCTAAGCACTTGTGCAATGTACATTCCAAAGGTTTTTGTATTGTCTTGTGTCATTTGTGCTGGTACCTGCCAGCAGCATGTAGAGCTCGCCCAGTCGCGGGCTGAGGTTGATGGCGGCGCTGAGGAAGTGGAAAGCAGAAGCGTACTGCTGCATGGTCAAGTGGACCAGGCCCAGGTTGTACAACACTTTCCAGTCAAAAGGAGACAGGTAGTGAGCTCGCTTCAGGCAACTGATGGACTGGGAAAGGAAAGATGAGAAAGAGAGAGGTGTCAGGAGCTGACTGTTTGAAAAGTAACTCAATGAAATATTAGGACCCAAAAAAAAAAAAAATCTAGTGATACTCAGCATACCTAATGCACCATCAAGGTCTGTCTGTCAATGTTGAAGACCAAAAAAAAAAAACAAAAAAAAAAACCCTCCAAACTTGACCGTGGAGGTATGTGAGAATTGCAGTTATAAATGTGTGTGAGCCACACTGAATGAGGGGAAAAAAATGGAACACATATCTTGATCTGATAAACTCTTTGGCCACTTCTCTCTTGTGGAGAAACTGAAGTGCTTGATGAGGGCCAAGCCAACATGCTACGGCATCTTCAACTTTGTCTTTAATAGTTTTCATGTGTTTAGAAAAAAAAGCACATTCTCTTGTGTCAGTAAATTGCTACATCAGTAGATCTCGTCTGTGTTGTTACAATTAGGAAATACACATTTTAAAAAATTCAAAGAGGCCATTAAAATGTTATCTTTACCCTTTAAAAATTACAACATTCATTTTATGCGCCCACTGCCAACTCGCTTTTGGCTGAGTGATGTAAGATGATACAGCGATGACTTACACACAAAACGTACAGTACAGGTATATGAAGCTGTAGATTTGGCTCGAAAATTATCAGATCACCTTCTTGGCCCTCGTCCGTCGACCGTGCAGCCAATAAGAACCTTGCTAATATTACGACCAATGTTGTCATTTTTGCAGGTCTCTTTTCAGCTAAGATAATTGCTGTAAGGGTCAGAATAGTTGCAAAATTTTGTGGAAACACTGCCAGGTCTACATCATAATGAGAGCTGTTGCTAATAATTGCGACACTCTCGTCTCAGACGTAACCAACACATTGGGCAAGCTTCAACAGTAAATTTATATTTAGATTACCGGTAATAGCTGTCTTACAGTGTCAATCCAAAATGAGCATTATGCTTTAAAGACATCATATTCAAGTTAACGTTCTATTTTGCAAGTGGTCGTAATGTTGTGGCTGGTCAGCATAAAGCACAAAACAACAATCGTTCATGTAAAATTATTTGAATTTCTGCCCCTGTGCACTGTGCCCTGCTCGACCAAATGCAAACAGAGAGTCACTTTGTGCAATTACTATAAGATAAGATAACCTTTATTTGTCCCACATTGGGGAAATTTGCAATATACGAAGGCCTCGCTCTCCTGCATGCACTGCATCTTCCTGCATCGACAGATCAATCTTTGGTATGCTTCAGTAAGAGAACTGAGACCACATCACTGAATTTGATTACATCCAATCCAACCATCAAAGTCAAGTAAGTTTTGGTTTAACTCTTGATTTAGTATACAGCTACCCATAAAAAAGTAAATAAATAAAAAATAAATAAATCTACAATGATTGAGGGAATGTGCTTTGCAACGTCACACCACCACACGAGCCGTGAATGCAGCAGGATGATTGGGTATTCAGCTCACGACGCAACCCCTCCACTACACAAGTATTTGAAAAGGCAGTTGCAGCAGATGGTTTCCAAAGGTGCAGACTCGTCGCAGCTATTGACAATTGCCAAATTTGATGTCCTGAACCACTCACACGAAGCGCACTGTTTTAAAGCACGTAATGGTTTTTTTTTCCAAGTGAGAAGTATGGTGTCTTGGGAGCATATGTTTCAAAGTTATGAGTGTATTTATAGTCAGAAAGTGTAAAGAACGTTCACACTCAACATAAAAAAAGATGAATATGTAATAAATGCTGAGGAGACAGTCAGTCTGCCGTGGGTGTCGCAGTGGGCTTTGAATATGAGTTTAGGTCTTCACTAAAAGCCTGAGTTGAGTGACATGTTTTCATGGTTGAATGGAACGCCACCAGGGATTGGCTTATTTTAAAAGTGCCGCTGACAGACTCACACCGATGAAACATATTTCATGAACAAATTGAAGAAGATATCCTGAGCATTAAATGTCTAATCTATGTATCTTTAACTTTCAGTTCAAGATTAAAAGTTACAATCCCGTGAAAAAGTATTTCATATTCATTGCATATTTATCACACTCAAAGGTTTCTGTTCATCAAACCAATTTTAATATCACACAGAGACAACCCAAGGAAATACGAAATGCATTTTCTAAATGCCAACTTAATTTATTAAGGCACAACACAATCTAAACCTACCTGTCTTGATGTGAAAAAGTTATTGCCCCCTGAACCGTACAATGGGTGGTGCTACCCTTGGTAGCAATAACTGAAATTTAGCATTTGCAATAATTGGTGATGAGTCTTTCACGTCGCTGTGGATGAATTTTGGCCCACTCTTCTTCGCAGAATTGCTTCTACTCTGCCATCTTGGAGGATTTTCTAGCATGAACCGCCCGTTAAGGTCATACCACAGCATCTCAATTGGATTCAAATCCGGACTTTGACTTGGGAAACCCCCAAACCTTAATTTTGATTTTTTTTTTCCCCCCTTTCAACTTGCTGGTGTGTTTCGCATTATCGTGCTGCGAGATGAGTGCTTGCGTGTGAGGGTGCAAACTGATGGTCAGACGTTCTCCGTCAGGATTTTCTGATAGACAGCAGATTTAATTGTCCCATCAATCACAGAATGTTGTCCTAGTCCTGAGGTAGGAGAGCACCCATAAACCATCACACTGCCACATCCATGCTTCACTGTTGGGATAATGTTCTTTTTAAATCAAATGCTGTGTCATTTCTACACCAGATGTAAAGAGAGCCACATCTCCCAAAAAGTTCAATTTTTGACTCATCAGTCCACAGGATGTTTTTTCAAAAGTGTTGAGGATCATCCAGATGTCTTTTGGCTAATGTGAGACGAGCCTCTATGTTCTTTTTGGACAGCAGTGGTTTTCGCCTGGGAGCTCTCCCAGGGATGACATTTTTGGCCAGTGTCTTTCTTATGCTAGAGTCGTGAACACAGGCTTGAACTGAGGCCAGTGAGGTCTGGAATTCTTTGGATGTTGTTTTAGGTTCTTTTGCGACTTCCTGGATGAGTCGTCATGGCACACTTGGAGTAATTTTAGCTGGTCGACCACTCTTGGGAATGTATGCTACTGTTCTCAGTTTTCTCCATTTGTAGATAATGGCTCAGACAGTGGTTTGCTGAAGCGCCAGAGTCTTGGAAATGGCTTTGTGACCTTTTACAGACTGATAGATTTTAACAACTTTTTTTCCAAATTTCTTCTTGACTTTCTTTGGGTCATGGCATGATGTGTTCATTTCTTGAGATCTTGTAGCCTACTTCATTTTGTCTGACAGATTATATTTACGTGATTCCTTGATTCAACAAATGTGGTGCGAGGGTGTTGCCTCTGAAATTGAACTCAGTTTTCCCCAAACTGTCGTGAGTCACAGTTACTTTTGTGATTTAACGGGGCGGGAGGTGTTACCTTTTCATGTAGGGAAAGGTAGTTTGGGATTTTTTTTCTGCCTTCATAAATTAAATTGACATTTAGAAACTCCATTTTGTATTTCCTTGGGTAGTCTATGTGTGATATTAAAATTGGTTGGATGAACTGAAAACGTGAGTGATAAATATGCAAAGAACACAGAAATCAGGATGGGGGCAAATACATTTTTACAGCACTGTCCATGTACAGATAGGAACAGCAAGTCGGTTATTCACAGTTGCTTTCGCTGTAGGTGAAAAATTGTAATACAATCATTTAACAACCTTGTTATCCCATTTTTAAGCACCAAAACATTATGCAAATAAGACATTCTGTTTTTGGTAGAATCCTTTTGTTGTGGATTAGTAGCTGCATTGGGTAATCCAGGAATTGCACTACTCACAGCAACGTATTTCTTTTTGCCAAAGAAGCACATGCCGATGTTGTTCCAGAGAGGGGGGCTTTCGGGCACAGCACATGCTGCGACCCGGTACTTGTTCATGGCCACATCAAAGTCCCCATGGGTCTGCATCATGCTGCCTGCAGCCAGGATGGCCTGCAAATGAAAGCAATCATTAGCGAGCTATTAGAGAAAGACCAGCCGCCCTTTGAAACGGGAGGAAGGATGGAGCGGACCATCTGACAAGCAATGACCTTTTCATTTGCGTTGATTTACTATCATGCTATCATGAAGGCCGATCAAACCAAAGAAAACTAAGACAACAACCCAATGTGCATGCATATGCACGTACCTTATAATTGTTGGGGTCGAATGTGAGGGCATTTCCAAGGTGCTCAAAAGCTTTTTGATATTTACCAAGCTGTAAAAAAAAAAAAAAAAAATGAACACAACAATGTAACTGTACTAATATACGGTGTCCCCCACATAATATCACTTATATCATTTGACCTACTGAGAGAAAAAGCAGACCAAGAGTTGTCAGCAGTTCCGTATTCTCTGGAGAGAATCTAAAAGGAGAAAGAGAAAATGCAAAAAGAAAGATGACTTTTCACCGACGTCTGTAATTTTGTTTAATGTCCCATCTTAAGCGTCATCAAGCATGGTTAATATTCAGAGATTGTGCTGATGATGCAGTCAGGATCAGTTTCAATGCAAAGGTGGCATATTAATTGAAAAAGAAATGGTAACGAGGGGGCCCATCACTATTTAAATCAAACTGGTTGTGGTCTCATTTAAGCAACAACAGTGCTGGAGCGCTTGATTAATTCATTTACAGCCACCAGGAGGCAAACATAATGAGTGCCATGACACGGATATCATTTCCTTATTTACGCCAAGGCCTGATGTTTAAATATTCAACATCTGAACAGAGATGGAAATGAAGCAAATCAATACAGAAGTGAAAAGGCCCCTCAGGTGAAAATGTCAACATGCAAACTTGATGAGAAACCAGGAGAAAACATTTACATTAAAACTCTTTTGTTGGTCATAAAAATGGTGACTGTTTGAAAGCGCTTCTGAGTTTTCTCTGCTCTTGCAGGCATTGAGCCCTGCCCAAAATCTGAGAATAACTGATCCCCCCCAAAAAGGTCTTGATAAATCAACTCATCTTTAGTGAGCACTTAAAAACACACTATAGTTTGGAAAAAAACAACCATAATACAAATTAAAATAACTAATTATTGTTGAAATAAAAAATATAATCTTTGAAAACTGAGCCAGTTGGTGACCTGGAAACACTTGTGACACTTGGTCTGTCCTGAGACCAATTAGTCAGTACGTTGGCCGCCTGGTATTCAGAAAGTAGCCTGTTGGTGGTGTCCGTGTGTCCGAAGTTTCATGAAGTAGGCATACTATGAGGTCCAAAATTTTGTGTCCTCTCGTTGCACAATCTACATTATGTGTGATTTTGTGTTGGTAGATGCGAGAGAGGAACATGACTGAGGTCTCCACAGATCAGTATGAGGGCGTCGGGATGCATGATGTCACTCGCGTTGGCTGCAGCAGCCGAAGTTTCAATGTAAACAAACAACTGCCGTTTTCTAACAACCATTAGGTGATCTAAATGGCGACTAACCTCACATTGGAGGTAAACTGTTGCAACCGAGAGGGAAAAAAAAAATCTTAAGTCTAAATGTAGTTTCTTCTGTCACTTGATCAAAGTTCAAGGGCACACCAAATGCCACAAGATGGCACTAAAGCAAGATTTTTATATTCGACGGGGCGTGGGCGGATCACAAAAACACCAAATCGGTGAGTTTTCCCATGAATAAATAAAAGAGTGAGGAGCAAATCATGAATATGCGGGTGAACACTGCACATGTACTTTGGTTTTGGAATAACAACTGGCAATTAATGCATCTCCCTAACATCCAATACCTGCAGCTGTTTGATGATGCTAGCAGGATTGTGCACAAACTGAAAAATGTGAACATCAAATTTTGGGCAGAGGTGAGGCATAAGATGAGATGGGAGACTTGCGGTCTTCATTTTAACGTGACGTTAAGTGTATATTGTTTGTTTTTCCTCCGGTCTGAGCTCAACTTACTCCACTGCTCTCTTGTACACATCAATGGCTTTGTCAGTTTCGCCGGCCAGCAAGTGGACTTTCCCGAGCGTCATGAAAGTCGTGTCGTGTTTGTTTAACTGGAGAGCCACGTTGAGTTGCTCCTCAGCCTGACAAACAGAAGACGAAATCTAGTTCCAAAATTCAGAATCGGTAAACACGGTGTTGATTCTCTCGGCACACTCACGTGTTTGAAGTCTTTGATGAAGAAATAGCACACTCCCAGATTGTGACTGATCTCCTGAAGTGAGGAAGAGTTGGATATTTACCAGTGAATTTCAAGTATGCGGTCCTTTTGTACACAGTTGGATAACTGCTCAAGTGTAGCCATCCTTCAATACGACTGAGCCTGATTCCGCCAAACTTTGGCAAGCAGTGGAAAATGTTGTGCCCCGTGGCACAAAGCACATCACATGAAGTGGAATTCTGCACATATTTGTAAGAGCGTAGCTACGTGACCAGCCGCCCCCCGCAGGCCTGCATGTGGTTCATTATGAAATTACCTCCGTTTATAACGAAGAAACAGCCTCTGTAGTTAAGTAAGCTCTAAAAGCCATGGATCTGGCTCAGCAAACATCATTGGAAAATGGCTTTGGATATTTTGGGCAGATGCTCTTTTGGGCAAATGTTCTTTGATAAGACATGGTTCAATCTGAGGCTGAATCCGAACATTTCGACAGAGAAGTGCTTTGTTTTCTCTTTTTAAAGCCTTGCCCACAAATGTGTACAAAATCTACGACTATTTTCTGTGAGTACATGAAGTGCCGTAAGAGTGTTTCTTTTCTTTTACCCAGTCTTTCTCGTTGAGCCTTGCAGCTTCACGATAGAATTCAATCGCTGCTTTGTGCTTTCCCAGTAAAAACCTACAAGAAGACAGCCACATACATTTGACCAATCCACCATTTTAACATGCTCAACAGACATTCGATCGCTCCTACGGCAGTTAACAGTAGTAGTCACGCTTTGGTGTCTAATCTTTCCCCAAAGTATTAGTAATGCTGAGGGCATTAGTAAAATTCTTCATGGTGTTGGGCCGGGCTGGAGCTAACTCACAGAGATCTGGCTACTTGCTTCAGATTGTCAGCGCTGCTGGGATTAAGGATGGCACAGCTCTGAAACAGCTCCAGGGATTGTTGGATCTTGCCCTCGAGACGCAAGATTAGTGCTGTGGCAAGAAAAAAAAAAAGAACAGACAAAACACAAAAGAGCCTTTAATTGCACAAAAAGACCTACATTAAACATCTAAGGAACAGTAAGCGGTCCAAAGAGTCGCATGTCAGCACAACACGGGGAAGCCATTCCACAGATATTCCGCTTCATGTTGCACGTGTTCACCGGCTCACCTTGCACATATATGGCATATTCGCACATTCCATTCGTCTCCTGCAACTGCTCCTTAATGATTGCCTAAATGGACAGGATTAAGAAAAGTGCGTCAAAGGACCAACCGCTCAAGTTTGACTGGTACTGTATTGAATAAAAAAACAGCTGTAATTTACATTGCAACAGGTACATTGATTCAACAATAGACGTGGAGATTTTAGCGTGATCATTGAAGGACTAGCTAATTAATTGCGCCTTCTTTTTGCTTGGATGAATGACACAGTCATGAAATGGAAAGCAGGCTGTCAAGCTGACGTTAACAAGCAGGCTAGCCATTCTGTTTTGCTTAATTACCCAAAGGCAAGCCAACCAAATATTTCTTAACCAGATGATGGAGGTTAGGTTCCCTCTGTCTGCCCTTATGCTACTCCACCATTCGGAGGTCATGCTAACTTTTCTGCACAACACTACTTGAAACAATGTTTTAAATTTTTGAAAAGGCATTTAGTCGGGTGGGGGTGGGGGACTAAACCTCTTAAATAAATGAAGTGGCGGAGCCCTGTATACAACTTTTGGTCTTCATTACGGCTCAGGTCAAGGGTAGCCACACCCATTTGTGCCAGAAGGAAGTCCCTTGGCACCTATTATTTACAAACATTAAGAAATGGGCAATATACTCTCTATACAGTTAACTGTTTGTTATTGTGGTTGTGAATTGCAGTGGTGTCCAACCGTACTGTTTACTTCCAGCGTATCCCCCAAAAGTGACATAATTTTGTAGTCGAATATATAATGTGAAAATAAAATAACGTTTAATGCTGGTGTAATGTTTTACTTTTTTCAGGGTGAATAATATTCACTTGGAAAAGGCACGACAGTGTGGTAGAATGCAGTCAAATAAGAGTATGCAGCCTGGATCTGAGGATATAAAAAAATAAAATAAAAAAAATAAATCGGCAAAGCTGCAAGAAAGCAAATTTGGACACGGGACAACAATTCCAAGAGGAAGGCAAACAGAAAAATGTGTGTCTTGTCCCAGGCGGTGCGCATATTGAACATTTGTGAAGCTTTGCGAAATTGGTTATAAAATTCTGATCTGTCTGAATATGTTGTTGGAATTTTGATCAGTCTTCTATTTTTCAACATGAAGCCGGTTTACCGTAATTTTGTTTGCCCATGACACACAGCGACTCTGATGCTCCTACGTTAAATGACACCCTATATTTTGGTTTCCTGAATTCGCTCCAGCAGAGTCAAAATATTCGACAGCCCTCCGCGTGACGCGGTTCTTGAGTAGGAACTTTGGTGTGTCTAATTTAGCGGTCGGTCAGTATGCATGAACGCCACAGGAAGAATTGCATTGATGAAGGCTGTTTACCTTGCAGGTTTCATACTCTTTATGTATATAGTGCTGGTGGATGAGCCAGTTTCTCCTCTCCACAATTGGAAGCTCAGGGGCTGAAAGAAATCACGGAGAAAAGTGAATAGTATTCACTGCTATGAAGTTCATTACCATTTTGCATTCACTTCATGTCTTTGTGCGCATCCGAAGAGTCCCCTCCTTTTGCAGTCATTATTACATCTCTGAGCCAAAGCCATATGGCCTACTGCCAGTTATGGCCTGCAAGCGTTTGTTTCCCCCCCTCTTAGAAACGTCAAGGCTCGCTCTATTTGAGACCATTTTCAATTCATACAGTCCTAATTTGTCTGATGAATAAACAATCTACCGCCCAATCTGCCAGCAGACGTTAACGCTACATACGAGAAGGCAATCAACCCACGAGCCACGATGTGAATGTTGCCGCATTTACAATCTTTTTAACATTCAGCAGGTAAGGGTAGTCTGCTCGTTGCCTGGGCAACAATGTCTTTCACTAGTCATGTGTTGGTGAGAGAACATTGAGAGAATTGAGGAAGAAGATGCTGGATCATGAGAAATGTGACCACAATGGTTCAAATCTTCTTACCAGTAAAGGGCAGCCTTTATTTCACATGGAAGCAACTGTAAATTCGATTAAAGTCTCAAAATAGGATGAACAGCAACGGGAAAAGAAGTGTTTAGCTTTAAATCTGCCACTGACATTTCGGAATATCATTAATGAACTGCCTGTGTGAGAATAGTATGAATTACACCAAAGCTCCCTTCTGTTTCTTTGCTGTCAGCACTTCAAGCGGGGCGCCTTTGATTTGCCGCTAAAAACGCAGCCACTTCCAAGTTGTTCTCAGAAATCCTCTCCATAGCTGTAAGAGCTTCAAACGCACTCACTGGGTCAAGACTGGGAATGGTCCTATTTGTAGTGACCTAATCCGCTTTCTTCCTGCTGAGACAGCAATCATATTCTCTCAGCCGTGGGCCCAAAGCTCCTCTGTGTCCACTAACTGAAATCTGGGGAGTAACGATGGGATACATGGATTCTTCCAAGTTTTGGTATGAATAATAATATATATTTTCGAAAAAAATTGCCAGGAAAGGGGGCACAGCATGGAGTCTCCTAAAAATAATCCTGTGCTGAATAACTTCATCCTACACACGATTCTGCTGTTCTTTGTTATATTTGAGGCTAATGGCGAATGCTTGCAAGCTCTCTGAATCTTCTAATAGGGAGGAAGAGCAGACGAGACGCATGCTGAGATCAAAAGACACACTGGGAAAAAGTCATGGAAAAGATGAAGGGTACAGCTATACTCTGCCAAAATGTGATGCGATGCCATTTCTGTATTTAATTCTTCATTTATAATTACGTGATTTTCAGATCAAATATGATTACATAGCCATAATTTGAGTTGTACACGTCATTGGTTAAGTCTTCTAAGTGGCTATGGACTTTTAGTCTCTTTTGTAGAGTATTCAAAAGCGTGCTGTTGAGCTTTATAATTAATATGGCGCAGTACAGCATTTTTGTGCATGTGTATGGCATAACTAAAGCTGACCTCATTTTGTAAGTTGAATACGCAAGACCCCCTTTTGACTTTACGATTAAAATAAACTCTAAACACTTCCCCTATTCAGTCCCACCACTGATCCTCTGGGTAAATTAGGTGGAAATCTCATTTTGATGACGGCAAGGTAACAAAACATACCACAATGCGCAGTACAGTGAGGATTTACAACAGCATACAATGGAATATAAAGTACCCTTTAACCGAGACTTATTTGCTCATCTGAAAAAACACTGTTACGTACTGTCAGGGAAATTATTAAACAACCTTTCACAGGAGTCACAAATGAGAAATGATACTATTGTTTTGTTAAGATTACTTGATGTCAATATCTGTACAAAAGGGCAGGGGACCCGCATTGCTTCCATTTAAAGCCCACCATGGACAAGGAGGAGGGGGACCCCTGCAGGAGAGTTAGCATCACACATGCATCTCGAGTAAAAAACCTGCTCCGAAATGTGACATTAAAACAGAAAACAACTCTGATCTAGACGTCATGTTACACAAGTCCAATAAGTTTACCTTTGGGTGCGCGACGTTTTTTTACTTCTGAGACCACCGGGGGCTGAAATACATCAAATAAGCACATGATTCAAAATGAACTAACATGCCACATTGCATATAGGAAAACACACAAAAAACAAATCGAACCGATCCTTTTACAACTGAGAGACCAAACATGACTTCATAATGTACACTTACGAGAATGCGACTACTGCATTCAATTTTGATTCTCCCTTGTAGTGGAAAATGCATATAAAATGAAATGTGCTAAGGACAGTGCAAACACAACACAAAAGCAACTTTTAACATGGGTAGGTTGAACACCATCATTACCTTAAACTGGTGAAATTTAGCATATTTCATCATAGTCAAAAATAATTTTAAAAAGACCTCTTCTAAATGTCAAAGTTATTTCCAAAATTAGAGTCCAATCAAGTGGATCAGGCAACCCTTCACATTTGGCTTCAGACTCCAGAGGTAATGTTTGCAGACAGACACGCTCTTTATATTCAAACCATGACACTGGAGCCATAGTCAGTTGAAACAATAAACTAGGTGTGTGTATGCCTCTGAGTGGCTCATATTTTGGAGTGAAGGGAGCCATGGGAAAATTTGTGTTGCCCGAGAGCGTATTCTCTACCCAAACTTAACATTTTCAATTATCCTGCCCTTTTCTCCTTGTAAAGCACACAGATAAATAAATGGAATAATGGAACACGAAATACTTGCATGGTATCTGAAAAATGCTTTACTGTAATATGCTTTGATGTACAAAACCGCAGTTTTTTTTTCTTTTATATCTGTATGTAATCATCCACCTTGTGTCAATTTCTTGTTTATTGAAGCATATTTTTAGATCAACCGTATGTTATTTTACTAAGATGCATATTTCTTTTCTTTGCTTTTAAATATCTTAAGGTTCTGTTTATTTGTGTGTTTTCCCCTGTGCTTTTACATGCCTTTATTCTTCATTATGTGAAGCATTTTGAGTCAACTTGTGTATATGGAACTCACTGTACAAATAACACTGCCCAGTCTTGCTTTCAAAATGCCCCCCCCCCAACACACACACACACACACACACACACACACACACACACACACACACACACACACACACACGATTTAACTTTATATCTGGCAATATTTTTAATGCAGCTTTTTTCCCATCTACTTAAAATGTTCGAGGTTACGACTCATATTTGAATGTTTGCGGTCATCTCCAAGTCCATTGGTTAATACTTTCAGTGAAATACACTTCTCATTAGTCAGTGAATTCTGGCACAAACTACACAACAGTGGGCATTCGCAAGGTCAGTTAAGTCAGAGAGATACCGTTAGTATAACCTAGATGGAACGTTTACTTCACAAACAGCGTCTAGCTTTTATAATGACGTTGGACGAGGGAGATTACTCCTTTTCACTGCTAGCATTGAGATAATTTAGATCCGATTTGGGCTGGCTTTCGGTGTCGCGTTAAAATCCGTCCGTGTTCATACAATAACCCAGCATATTTTTCCGCGTATTCCAACAAAAGCATACTCGTGCCAAGTGTTGTGTGTACAGTATTTCGATGCAAACAAGCTTGACCTCACTACTTACCACTGCATGTTGCTCCACATCCGCCATCTTGGAGTCGCCAAAGCCGAACTCGAGAAGCTGTTGCCATGGATACAAATGCGGAAGGCGAGCTTGAACCATCTTTTGAAAGTGCGCCCCGTACAGGAGCCTGGGGTTTTACTTCTCCTGATGGAAGGAACAGAGAAGATCCCTACTACATTTGTAAAAATCAGCCACTGGAAGGTTTGCGAGTGAGCGTAATGCGCGGAGTAAATATTCTAAATACTAAACTGTTCATTTGTGTCCTTGCTCTGTGCCTGTACACGTCGACTTCATAAATAAACCCGAAAGAAAAGCAGTGCTGAAGATGGATGACGTCTACCTGTATATGGACAACACAACACTATTCACAACATTAAGGAGGGATTTATTTAATCAATTGTTCCATCAGAAACCCTAATTGTACATCAAAATAATTTACCAATACATGCAACATACCTTAATACATTCTTAAGAACAAATAATTTCTTTAGTAAGCGAAGAGAAGGAAAAAGTTATATGACAACACCCCCCCCCCCAAAAAAAAATCTATGGAAACAGGTATGTAACTTTACATCTGCTTCAGGCACAGACACACAACAAAATCATTTACAGTGCCTTAATAGAGACAGTGAAGAGTTAAGTTAAACTGCATTCTGTGGCCCTTACTCGTACTTGGTTTTTCTTTGCAGAGCATGTTTCTTTTCCCCACAAGTATAACTTGTCTATTCTTCAAAGGAAAAGGTTAAGTATTTTTAGGCATCCTTCATATTTATCATCTTCAACCCAGATTGGGGCTATTTGAACATTTGAAAGTGGTTATCAACTGCAACAAAAGATTCGACATTTGTAAAGCTGACTTAAAAACTGAACGTGAAATTGTAAAAGGTCAAGCCAAACCAGTGACACATACACCAGACTTAGGAATGCTAATTTGGATAAAATGTTTCCCTAAGCAGGGGGTGAAAAGCACACACATATGTTACAACTACAATGTTTAAAAAACACCGACTATTAACGACAAGCTAATAATTAACAGACTGAATTGATTATCAACATTGATTTTGTTTCACATCGGTGCCATTTGTAATACAATTAGCAGTGTCTAGAAAATTGACACATAAATGTTGTGTTCTTTTGCTCGTTAATCAACTTTCTCAGTTATGGTTTACCTTCTCTCAGCAACAATGAAATAAATAAAACCACCCCACGGCCTTTAAGGCTCCAATCAAAGCATGGAACTCTTTACAAATCAAAATGTATCAACCAGCTGCTCCAGGCACAACTTAATGTCAGCCTGTAAACAGTGACTTTTCTCACTTCATTTGAGCAAAGCAACTCCTTCATGGCCTATTCTTCATTACTTATCAGGAGTATATGCAAGAAAAAACATAAAAGATGGCAGCAGTAACAAGTAACCTACACCCAGAGAAACAGTACTTCCAAGGCTGTGGTGGCAGAGACTATGAAAATAATTGACCTCGGCCATCTGTTTTCACACGTTTGGACCACATCGGTTTCAGCAGCCAACCTGTTCTTTATCAGGGTTCCATTGCACATGGCCAGAATTAACAATTTCACATCAAGCATACCTTTTTCACCGTTGCTCTCTGTGGTATGTGTGTTCTGTCGTGAGGGTGAAAAGAAAAAAAAAAGTGACAAGAAAAAAAATCCAATCGGACTCTGCGGGATCTAAACCTCAAAAGGAAGTTGACAGGGCTTTCAAAAGTAGCATACCAACTGCACTTTGACATTACCAAACATTCAAGTCCTTTTTTTGGGTGGTGATGTAATGTCATTTGTCCTGTCTCTTTGCTCCAATTCAGCTTTGTTAGTTTGATAACAGCCTCATGTTGCACTATACAGTGATGAGGGACTCGGCGTAGAGTGCATTCCAAAGCATGTGCAATTCATACACCATTCAAGACCCATGTCTTGACTTGCACATTTTCATATACAGCTTTTGACCATGGTCCCTGTATATCGCACATTTGACACAAACGAAAACCATGTGGCAGCATGATTGTGGTCAAGTTATTTCTTTCTTTCCTTTTTTTTCCCCCAATTATTATGATCTGTGCCCCAGGGATATAACTAGTGTGAGATCACATTGGAAAAAGGGCACAATCTAACGCTTTAGTTGCTGCTAAAAGCTCCCTGAGCAGCTGTCGTAGCAGCAGACTGGAAGGTTCTGTTGGTCAGGACACCGCTGGAGAACTCCTGTTGAGCCTTGGTGAAGCTGGCTCCGGTACGTCTGTACTTGTAGTGGACCTTCATGGAAGACAGACAGTACAATAGTCATTTTGAACTGTTTAACAGCAATTCCATGATGAACTGCTATAGTTTTTTTGGGAAAGCTGCATACATACTGTATTGTTTAAGTGATGATATACATGACTCACTGGAAAAATTAAATTACTCACATGCATGCACACGCTAACATTTACGCGGTCTGCTAGACAATTAATTTCTTTTGCAAAGTTGTAAAAAGCTTAGTTTAAAATACCATTTTGAGGAGCATGACTGCCAGGATCGCATTCACGGTGAAAAAGCCCGCCACCACCATCATGACAACGGCCACAGCCAAGTTGGTGTTGATCATGCTGATGGATGCAATCCAGCCACTGTCAAGAAATGCACACATAAAAACACACTATGAACAACTCAGAAGCACTGTGCAACAGTACACAAAATTACGGTAATGAATATATCTGCTTAACACTCACCGGCGATTAATGGGAAAAAATATTGATGGATATATTTCAAGAGGATACAGAGGAAAGGCAAAGAGAAAGGAGCCACACACTTACAAAGGACAGAACCCCTTAAAGAAGACAACAGCCATCTGTCAAAGAGACGCAAAAGAGAAGCTCATGTAGAGGCCACAATAGCTTGAGTGCACACAAGAAAACACACGACTCCATCCATGTTGTGGCAGCATGCTGTTGCGCGTATGCCACGCCCCCTTACACTCGACATGCAGATCATTCCGCAGGTGTTCAACTCACCTGTTGCCCCACTTGGGGATCCCCACAGTCTGAATGATGTACACAGCCACTTGGAAGAAAAAAACAAAGAAGAAGAAAAAGAAGCTGAAGGAACTGTCAGACCTGGAAAGAAAGGATGCACACACAACACAAGGAAGGAATTGAGTCATCAATGGCAGTTACAGCCCTTCGAGCACTGATACATTCACATGAACTTAACATGAAGTAGTTACAGGTGATGATTACTCCCACATTCAAGAATGAAACCACGAAAATGCCGATGATCCATTCGGTCCACGAGCACAAAACCAGTAACATAGTACAGCGTACCTGAAGGCTCTGTACACGGGTCTGTACCAGCAGACGAAGGAAACAGGGGTGAAGAGGAGGAACCAGAGGATGGACAGACCAAAGTCGACGCCATACTGAGAGTCCACTGTGAAGTAGGCCAGGCAGGCCAGCACGTTGAGAAACAGCGTGACACTGTGGACTGTGCACACGCACAGACATACACACAATCAGGGACAGACTGTGCATAAACAGTAAACCACGAAGAGTCTAGTGGTGTGACTGGGAGTCTGTATTTCGGACACAGGATTACTGTTCGTGTGTGATAGGGGCTGGCCGCAAAGAGCAAAAATCTGTGAAATATAGAGTTTAGAATGACATATACGGCTCACAAGGTGGCAAGAGTCCGATTGATACGTGAATGACTCAAAGGAGTTCTTCATAGTGACTGCTTCAATGTGATCTGCTCAGGAAAGGCCCGACATTCAGTACGACAATACTTTGCACTGATTGGGCAATGCGGTAACTTGTGCATGCCTACCAAACTTATGTTTTGACTAATCATGGCAACGGAAGAAAATGTCATCGCTGGCATGTACCTTGGTTTGACCGGCTAAGGCCAGTCATCTGGAATACTGGTGCAGATGGCATCATGGCGTTGCATTGTAGTTGTCGTTTCTTTCAATGTAAATATGCGGATAAAAGGCGTTTTGAACAAGGACGTTGGTTTTTGAATCGAGCAGATTGTCAACTGAGAAAAGTTTTCGTCACAGCCGCACATCCTGCCCCCCAAACACACTGTTGCTTTGTGATTGGTCCGCACTACCAGCGGTGCAGCTTGGAGGAAGTCAGCGGGCTCGAGCCAAGATCGATTCTCGGGGTTTTGCAAACACTCAAACACTGAGAGAATTCAAATTACAGGCAAGGTTAACAAGGTGCGGCACTGGACTAAAACTGGAGCGAACCATAAAACATCAACATTTTGTCTAGCATGTACTGTGAACTCAGGTCACATAGAGGACTGTATTCAGTCGTTAAATTATTCAACAAACAAACCAGCTTCACAAGAGGCTCAATAGCATAAGCAGCATACTAGCCTAAAAAAAACCACGAAAGCACAAACTGACATGACATCAGTCATGGGAAAACAAATGCATACAAGCTAGAGCTGGGTGATAATGATATATATTGCGAAAGACAAGGGTAACATTGTCATTTGTCACCTACAGTAAAATGCCAGTCATTAGAAGAGACAGAGGAAGCTTGATTTGAAGGGCTAAAGATTTCACTTACCATTCTTATGCTGCGCATCTGCCACCAAGTGGCAGAGTACACAACAACACAGCAAAGTGAATCATAATACACAGTCACCATACAAAAGAAACCTACAGTGCAAAGTCCGTTAGGGTTCAATGAAAATAAATTTAGAAATATAGGGCACGTCAAAGCATGCTGGGTACTTCAAACGACACAAGGCTGGCATTGCAGCTTGCACTTTGAGCATAATCAAAAAAACAAATACTAGAACTGAGAATTTGAAACTTTTGATGGCGGCGCGGACACCCGCAGCGGCTCCTCTTGTTTTATGTTCAGAGGGAAGAAATTTCATCTGTGCTGTATGTTACACATACGTACAGGACATTTGACAATAAAGTTGTATTCAATTCATTGTTTTTTTAAGTTTTTCCAGTAAGTGAGCGGTGGAGATTGTCCCAAAAAGCGTTGATAGGCCGTGGGTAGTTGGCAGTTGGTTGTAAAATGGGTGCCAGTGCAGTAGCTTGTTATGCAGCGGCTCCTCTTGTTTTATGTTCAGAGGGAAGAAATTTCATCTGTGCTGTATGTTACACATACGTACAGCACATTTGACAATAAAGTTGTATTCAATTCATTGTTTTTTTAAGTTTTTCCAGTAAGTGAGTGGTGGAGATTGTCCCAAAAAGCGTTGATAGGCCGTGGGTAGTTGGCAGTTGGTTGTAAAATGGGTGCCAGTGCAGTAGCTTGTTAGCAATGAGTTTTTGGATGGGTGCTACTGTGGCTAAACAACACCTTGTGGTTTCGCTCCTAATTCAGTAATCATAGCCTCCAGGGCAGGGAATGAGCTACACTTCTTCCAAGTATCGTTCTCATGAAGGGATTATGAGGAGTAATGAACAGAGGGACGCTGAAGAAGCCATTCTAATTGCCTAACCTAATATCATGAAAGACCGGAATGAAGTGCTTGGTGACTGAGTAACATTTTCACTGAGCTATCGCAAAGCGCAGCCATCTTTGAACAGCAAAATGGCATGCAATTTAATAAGTGGAGAGAAAATGAGACAAAATAATGTTACACACACAGCTCAACAAGAAACAACTGTGACAGCAGACAGGAGAGGTGGCCTACGAGATTAAAAGTACTGTATATTAATATTGAGGATAAGCGATTCAGAAAAATCGATGTATAAAGGATAAGCGGTTCATACAATGGATGGATAGATAGTATACTGAATATGAATAATATTACTAACGTGATTTATTTTCATAATACAGTCCTGAGTTTTGAATTTGACTCTTCCATAATAAATGCATGATCTAAAATCCATTACCATGTGATGGGATCCAGGATACTTACACATCCACAGGTAGTACATTCTTTTACAGATCCGTCGGTATTCTTCTGGGATGTCTGCCTCAAAGTCTTGGTAAAAGCATGGCTTCACAGGGAAAAACTTGGGCAGGGGAGGCCAGTTGTTCTCTTTGACTTGGGGTCAAAATAACAAATTGTGTTACCCTCAACAGTTGAACAATGCACCCATTTAAAAGAGTGCAGTGACTTACCCCCCGTGTTCTGGGGTGTCCTGTTCTGAAGTTCCTGCTCCTTTCTCTCCAACTCTGCTGCCTTCCTCTCCAGCTCTTCTTGCTGCTTGACCAGATTAGCTTGACCTGCAGCTGCCGCAGCAGACGCCTGTTATAAAACGGATAGGTTGCTGGTTTATATACAGTCCGGCAGACATACCCTTCAAGTAGCCTTGCGGCAAACCCTAAGAGTGCTCCCAACACCATACATTAAGTCAATATTGACTGCTTTTAGATACAATGTGTGTATCCTCCCCCACAAAAAAAAGGTGGAAGACTCGAAATAAGCACATCAGCCACATGGTCAAGCCGTTCTAGGTTGGAATCTCAGCCCGAGCCTTTTTGGATGGAGTGTACATGTTTTTCCCCTGAGTTTGTGCTTTTTTTCTCCTGGTACTCCAGCTTCACGACACACTCCAAATACATGAATGTTAGATTAACTGACAACTCTGACCTCTCCATAGATGTGAAATTGAGGGTAAATGGTTGTTTGTCCGTCTGTGACCTGTCACTGACCGGCAACACATTCAGGGTCGAACCCGCCTCTTGCCCAAGTCACCTATGATCAGTTGAGTTCACCAATGATCCTAATTAAGACAAGTCTTCTAAAAGAATGGATGGTTAAACACCCACCATATATGTTCTCATTAGATGGCAAATGTAAAACAAAGGTGAGACAAGCTCAACTTCAAATTTTTTCTTAAAAGCCACAGCACACTAACTTGCAGATGTACACAATGGCTTTCAACGAATGACACATCTCCTTATTTAATTTCTATAAGATTGCCTGTTTGTCTCACTTGTGAACTCTGCTCCACTGAGGTTTGCAGTATGGCGGGTTGAGATGAAACAGCTGAGATGGGGATGGTGGTCTCACTGCGGTCCTTCTGCGGAACATCATGGAATGTATCTCCCCCCCCCCCCCACACAAATGTGTGTGATAAAGAATTAAAGTTTACAATCATTGCAATACACATCAAAAGACAAGCGGCTCACCAATTCAGTGGAGAATGGGTTGTAATCCCGAATGCCATCAGAGGCTCCTCGGGTGGCCTGAGTGACAGAAGCATCCTAAAAAAAATTCACACAGTATTCATATTAGCATTAGTCATAATCATTAATGACACGTGGAACAATGGATGCCCAAAACTGCATTTGATGTGGCGCAATAACGCAGGTTCAGAGTTCAGGAAAACCATTTTAAGGTCACATTTTCCAGACGATATATTAACTATTAAGCGACTCTGCTGGTTTTAAGTCTTTGTTAAAACGTTTCGAGGTTAAACAAACATTTTTCCTAAGCAAATAGGGAGCTAATAACAGCGCGTACGCCGCTCAAAAGCAACATTACTGAGAAGTGAGCAAGCTGACACACGAAAACATCCAGTATGCTAACCCAAGCCCTCAAAAAATGCAACAGTGTTCCTCACATAGTGGATGATTTAATTCAGAAATTTAGTTTTTAAACGGTTGAGTAATGGCGTTGAGGAGGCATATAATTGGCTGAATACGAGCAGGCACCTGTTGCAGATTGTACCTGTTCAGGTGACAAGACCCAGTCACAATTTGAAGCTTTGTTTCCGAGGCTTTTGATTATAAACAGTCCATATGTGGACAACATTCCATATTTATATTTACTTATAAGTGACGTTTGTTCCGGTAGATAATGTGCAGGCCAAACCCAGTAACCGACCAAACAGGTTTCTTGAGTGTAAATCCTAAAAACCCAAATAAGGACAAAAGTCGTTTCTCCCTTAAAAACGGAGCAAAACAAAGTCTCACCTGGAAGGGATTCACGTCCATGGGTTCGGCGAATGGGTTGCTGTCAAATCCCGACATTGTCGCGTTGGGTTTTTGTTCTCGAAAACCAGGCACCTTGCTTCCCTCTGGCTGCAGTTGCTCCGGATGGCGCCACGGAGGCGTTCTACGCATGCGTCGCTCCACAGGTAGCCGCGTCACAGCGCACAGCAGGATGGACGCGTCACTTTTCTTCGATTTTACCCGAGCCGGGGTTTAGCGGTTGGCTCGTGGTGGCACCAATATTTTTAATCAAACCAACGCAACCATAGTTCGCACTGGTCACATACCTACACTGCTTCAACTCTAAATTAGTGTTGGGATCTAATCAGAAAACAAACGACTCTATAGATCCAAGTACATCTTGGTGCATACACGTCATAAACCAGCATGGCGTTCGTTGATGATACAACAATAATTGTCACTTTTTTTCGTTTTTTTTTTTTAAGAAATTCAACATTTACAGATATATTACATCTACCCTAACCTCAACATGACAACAATCCAATTTTTTAACATTACATTATTCATTACTATTAGACCTGAAGATGTCTCTGAAAGAAATGAAACATACTTCAATAAAGAACTAAACTCAAATGACACAGTGGAAAGAGATACTCAGAGACAAAATACTTCAAAAACAATCAGCTTTTTGCACTTGATATAAAAATATTCCGTGGTTAAGTAAGGTAATTGTAATGCGTTGGGTTTTGGATGAAATTTCAGGACGAGCTTAAAATGTAGTCAAAACTTTATACATTAACTGAATGTGACCTTCTCGAAGCTTTTGAATGCACATGTCCAACTGTGGGCAGCACCGTGAGCGAAGGCCACATCGGCCTCACAGAGGTGCACGGTTCGATTCCGGGTGCAGCCTTCCTGTGTGGAGTTTGGATGTTCTCCCTGTGCCTGGGTGGGGTTTCTACAGGTACTCCGATTTCCTCCCACATTCCAAAAACATGCATGGGAGGTAAATGTAACACTCTAAATTGTTCCCTGGTGGGATTGTGAGCGCGAATGGTTGTTCGTCTATGCGTGCACTGCAATTGGCTGGCAACTGGTTCAGGGTGTCCCCCCCGCCCCTTGCCCATCCTATTGAAAACGTGTGGGATCAGCTGAGTCACCATGTTGAGACTCGCACCCTAGAACCTCAATAATGTCTCATGATTAAGGGCTGCCCTACCTACACACACACACACACACACACACACACACACACACACACACACACACACACACACACACACACGCACATATACGCGCACGCGTGTGTGTGTGTGTGTGTGTGTGTGTGTGTGTGTGTCACATTGTGAATTTGATCTTAAACCTTATGGACTATTTATTTATCTTAAAAGCCACAGAGACCTTAATCTTTTCCCGTGTAACACTTTCTTGAACTCAAATGGCACTTCTAAGCTCCAGATGGCAGAAAACAGGAAGCAAGGCAACAAGATGTTTGTTTGTTTTTTTTTTTTTTTTTTTTTAGGGGGTTGCTATTGAGACTGAGAACAGTCAGGGAGGGTTTGATACAAGGGTGTCACAATAGATGGCATTTTGGTCACTACACTGTACATATGGACTGGACTGAATTTTACAGTTGCTTTATGGCTGTTAAATAGTTAAATGCAACTATTCTCTAACCATCTGACATTGTTCGCAGCGTACAGGGCCCCTTGGCAGGAATTACATACAAGCTATCTTGGTCCCTTTGATGGTGATATCTCCCTTGTAGTATGGAAACGTAGCATGTAAAACAAGTAAGTATAGTCTCTCATGAGCTCTTGGCACATGAACACAAACTTATAGCTCCCATTGCCCAATTTTGCCCAAGTCCGAGCAACATAGCCCCCCTCCCCCCGAAAAAAACAAAAAAGATAAATATTTGACTTCAACTACCCAGCATGAGCTGGTGTTCCGGGCTTTGTACAGTATTTATATCTGTATAGACTAATAAGAATTTGTGTGACATTAAAATTCATTAAATAAATGCGGAAAATACATTTTGTAATCAAGCAACCACTGTATACATTGATTGTTAGGAACTGTAAACTCACAGAGTAGCTAATTGTGAGATTCAGGTTCAATGCAACATCAGCTATCCCTGATGTCATGTTTTCTTCTTGTAGGACAATACAACAGCTTCCCAGCCTTGGAATTATTCACTGACGCTGCAGTCTGTGACATTTTCAAACATTCCCTTTGCTCTGTTCTCCAGACCAGTGTGTTCTCCTCTTGGTGCCGAGTGTGGAGCTGCCAAGGCACCTTTGTGAGATCTTGAGTGGCTGCTTTGGCCACAGAAGTGAAGCTCCTTCCACTAACCATCTTGTGCCTCTACATTGGCTCCAAATGGTGGGGGACACACTTAACACGGCACTTGGGTACAATTCTTTGACAGGTTTTAAAGGCTAAGTAAGCGTGCTTTCAGGGCGTGTCCTCATTGGGTCCTTCACACCATGAATTCATTACTGCCGTACAACACCAGCTGCTGCTGTATGTCGGGTGGCTCCCTGCTATGACCACCGCTTTCTCTGGTATGCCTCTGGGATACATGTTTGCCCCCCCTCAGTTTCTGTTTGCCTTTTTCTGGATTAAAAGTGCCACGGCTGGTAAACTGTGGTCTTTCATCAAACACGCTCTCCAACTCTGCTGTAGGACTGCAGTTGAAACTGTCAAAGCTGGAAGCTTGAGGTGCATTCTGAGCCTGCGTTGCACCTGAGCTTGGAGGGGGAGACTTTGAAGTGGAGTGAAACCAAGAGCCACGGCTGGTATTAGAGATGGGGGAATTCGACGGCTGGAAATGTGATGATGAGGAGTAGGGAGAAACACTAGAGGAAGAATCCACTGAATCCAGAGAGTCGGGTTGCCGTCTCAGAGTGCGATGCCGTGGGCTCTTTCCATCAGACCTCAGGGACCAAGGGGAAGTAAAAACGAGACCTCTCTCTGAAAGACAGACAATTACGTTTTTAGAGAAGAATTTCTTTATGACACATGAGGGGCAAGTCGACCAGGGTGGATATATGCACAGTTTCTATACAGCGACATACCGGAAAGAACGGAAATGACTTCAGAGTCCACATTCAGGTTTTCAGAGCTGTCAGCTGTACCGATAGAGGCCTCCGACTCAAGGGTCTCATCGTCTGATGCTCGTGGCTCCAGAGTCAGCATCTCGAAAGTCAGCTCCTCCCTGTAGGAGCAAGCACATTCACATTAGCGTGTGAGCTGAGGATGCATCATTAGGTCCTTGCCAATTATGTGCGGTGACAGCATTTACTTCTCTTTTTGCAGATTCTCAATTTGCTCCGTCAGCACTTTCTCCTCCTGCTCCATTGCTGCTTGCTGATGCTCAGAGATTTCAACCAAAGACTCGTTGCCCTCGCTCTCCTCTTTTACGGTATTTGTCAAAGACTGAAGTCGCGGGCTCACAGGAGGTGTAGGCGAGTGCAAGCTTAGACGCCGAAAGTGACCTTTTCCCTGGAAAACAAATCAATGGCATAAGAGCACATTTCAGGTTATGTGAGCGCCAATGGGAGTCCCCAGGTAGTGCACCTTAGCTCCCATGCAGAAGGCAAATTCATCAGTCTGTGGGGGAATTTTTTTTGCATGGTGTACTGTAAGGTGTCGTCTTTCGAGTAAAATGTACAGGTGCAATAAATCTGAATAATTTACAATATCATAGAAAAGTTCATTTTGTTTCAGAAGTTCACAATTAAAGTCAAACGCACAATTCACTACTTTGGATTATTTTGTAGATTTAATTAATACAGCTAATTTCTTGAGCTGGGGAATTTGGGGTTTTGGTTAGCTGTAAGCTACAATCATCAAAATATGGGGTGAATCTACATAGTACAGTATTCATACATGTTTACTTCTTTTTTTAATGGAACTAATGTCATGAAATGTGTTTTCCAGGTTACTCTCACCGACTGACATGCACGTGTATTATTTGTGCAGATGACACAAACGCACTATTTTACATTGGATGACATTGGCAGCATTGCCAATAAGTGTGCAAATCTGTGCCCACCTTCACATTTTAGATTCTAAATGTCCCAAAACAGTCAAAAGTTTATGTCGTAGTTACCAAGCAGCAACAAAATAGAAAACAATTACAACTTCAACTACAAACCTGACAGAGAGAAAGTATTATTATTATTATTAATTATTATTTTAAAGGGCAGCGGACTTGATCATCACTTTGTTCTATTCTTGTTGACAGTATATTTTTTCCTTTTAAAATAATCTTTACCCAAGTCATATTTTTTCCATGATAACAGCATACATTTGCTCAATTGGTAGAGACCCCCTACAAAGCTTGCGTTCTAACTTGAAACCTGAATGAAAGGCTCTCTTCACACTCATTTCAAACCTTTTTCATGCATTAGAACAGTGGTTCTTAACCTGGGTTCGACCGAACCCAAGGGGTTCGGTGAATCAGTCTCAGGGGTTCGACGTAGCCTCTGCTGTAGAGGTTAAGGCACACCTGACTCAACATGTGAATTAGTTATGACACGCCGCTTGCCCATCACTGGCTGGTTCATTTTGTGCACAATTAAAAAACGTATATCGGTAGTTTATACTGATACTAATTGTGTTTACTTTTTTCAGTTTTTAATAAATGTGTTTTTTTTATGTCTTGTATTTGTAAAAAAAATCATATTTTTATTTCTCACTAATAAGGTGTTTAGTGAATGTGCATATGAACTGGTTGGGTTCGGTGCCTCTCACAAGATTAAGAACCACTGCATTAGAAGTTGTTCCGGACCACATCATGCAATCGTACTGTCACAGCCACCCCAATCCCTTGGATGGGAACCATTGGAAATGCAGTTGAGCATAAATACAACACCCACACACCAAACCATAAAACAGTTGAGGACATAACAAATACACCACTGATCAACATTTACTTTACCTTTTTAGGTGCATTTGACTGTGGAACAGACATAAATACGAAATGGGAAAATTAGAAAGATTTTCCCTGACGTGTCAATGCAGCTAGTTTATTTTACTAAGTTTTATAATCATAACATATGACAGCGATTCTAAGCAGCTGTCACCTAACGTCGGAAAAGAGGGGCCAGCATAGCATACCTATGCACCTAACATTTTGCACCAAACAAAAACATTTTGCAAAACAAAAAAAAAAGCTCACAAGTTTGAAGCATGGAGTTCACATTCACTTTAACATACTTGAGCACTTTGAAATATACAGTGTGTGTATATATATATATATATATATCTGAAATACATTTCCAAATATTTTGCTTTCATGGCTCTCTTAGTCAATATATATATATGTGTGTGTGTGTGTGTGTGTGTGTGTGAAGTTTATTATAAATCAAATGTATTATTAGAATTACGATCAATCTGACAGCTTGCACTATTGCACTGCACCGAACCTAACAGCTCAAAGTAAATGTTACAGTGCAAGTAAGGGACATGATCGGGAGGATTTGAAAAGGATGAAACAGCACCGAGCAGAAGTAAACCGACGGGTTGCGAAGCTTTTTCCAAAAGAAAAATACCCGTCGTCACAATTTGATTATACCATTGATCTTCGGATGAAAGTCAGTCTGCATTTGGCCTTATTTTCAGCAAACTCCAGGGTGTTGATGTCCTTCAGTCGCACTTTGTACTTTGTCATCTGTTCACAAATGACAAGTTCGACACACCTATGGAAGAACAAAAAATACACCTTAGTGGGGCTACAAACATTTCCTGACCACAAGAATAGTACACTAGTCCTGTATTTTCACTTGACGACAGATAGAGGTTACTTACGCTGTGGTCTTACTAATGTCCTGGACACTCTGAAGTGGATCAATCGTGTCTGGACAGCGCAGGATACAGGGAGCAAAAACTATAGCCAAGGCATTAGCTGACATACGGTTTGTCTCCTCTTGTAACGCAATCCTGAAAGAGTGAATACAGGTGTCTGAATATTCCCATCAGGAATTCATTTTAAAATGTTCAAAATCCACATTCATTTACCTGACAAGATGAAATATGAGCCGTTCCAGTGTGTTCAGGTGGGTCCTGCTTAGCTGGTCAACAACTGAATACACCCCTCTTATCATTTCTTTTCTATCCTGCAAACCTGAGAAAGGACAACCATTTTTATTTTTCGGCACTCGCAGAATGTGCCGCGGAAAACATGCTGCTGACTTACCCATAGCACGTATAAACGCCTCATATAGCTCAAATGTCATCAGAGGACTCGGCAGGTCTCGCAGCCACTGCTTGAAGACACTAGCAATGACGTGGATGTTGTAGTCATCCAGATTCATGCTCTCCACATCTGTGGCAACACGGAGACGGCACAGAAAGCCAAAACAAAGTCAAACGTGAATAAGCACCCATCTTGGAGTTTTTTTGGTTTCAACATCCATTTTTCAACACCTGTAACTGGTTGCGAAAAGTTACCTGTGTCAAGTCCCTGTTTCAGTTCTCTAATTTTATTGGTGGAGCCCGATTTTCGATAGATTCCCTCAGTGTAGAGGCCGTGCATCTCGATGTAGTTGATAAGCTTCTCCACCACAAGGGGCACCGTTCGCTCATCATTTGTCAGGCGTAACACCTCAACACCAAATTGTCTCGGGGAAAGCTCGGGGTCGAACTGTTCAAAGAGACAAATATAGCGCTCAAACAATCACGTGCATGCAGACAAACCAAATACCACAGAAAACAAGGCACACTGCTAGCTTGCTAATCGTGCCGTCAAAAATTACTGGCTTGAAGAAGGGATCTCTATTACAATACTGTATTAATAATGCATAAAAACGACATACAGGGTAAAATATCAAACTTCAAGTCATTGGACTTGTGTCTGGCTGACTTACCTTCTTACTGCATTTGGTGGTCGTCTTTTGGCAGCACTTTCTGTGGCAGGCATAACGGCACACTGGGTAAACACAGGCAGAAAAATCAAACACACTACTCCCGTTATCCATAGAAAGGCAGTGCCTCCTCATCTTTCAGCAAGTCCAGTCAAAGACAAAAACTGATTGAGCAGGGAATGGCAGTGTGGAAAAGGACAACTTGTGAGGAGAGATTTCTGGAGTCACAGAGCCGCAGACCCCATGAGACCAGTTGAAGACAATCCGATTAGGGCACAGGAGGGCGAGAGGACCGGATGGGACTTTCAAAGGGCAGACTCACTCAGACACTGTGTACACTATGCGCATTTTGTTGCGCATGATCACGTGAGATCATGAGACAGTCTGGGCTGTAATGGTAGCTGCATTAATACAAATGTATTATCTATGACTCATCCAAAGATAGCTACTTAAGTGTTATTTTAGGTCGTAAGTAATCTAGTTTGTGGTTTTACCACATGATCTGTTAAGTCAAAACCCTGTTAACATTTCCAAGAGTTTTGGGGCAAAAGCGGGCTTGCTTGTTTTTGCTGAAATGACAAACATGAAGTTCTTCAGCAAGATCAAATGTTTGGTCCATTTTTAGTTTACTTTTAGATTACTTTCAGAAATCACTTCACTATTTTCACCAATTACTCATTTAAAAATCCATTCTTCAGTGCGCAAGCTTACTCACGTTTGCAAACACAGGCACGATCCATCATCCAGATGAGCGATGAGCAGTATTCACAGTATGTGGGGATGCTGTATTGGGTGGACTTGAAGATATGGCCATGATGCTCCTCCACCTGTATGTCGGAGCGGAACACACACCTTTAAACAAGGTCGAACTGCACTGTGCTGTACATGATATCGACGTTTTGGACAAAGCTACTGGAAAACACCTCTCAATGAATTATTCAATCAAAGTTTGCCCTGAATCTTCAATCTCCGGCATAACAACACATTTTGGACAATTGTATGCTTCCAACAGGGAAGAGTAACAGCCGTTTCTGTTGCCAATACACTGAGCGAGAGCCATACTGGCATGAGTTACAACGATGTTGTATGATGAGACCCTGTTGGCTTTGCAAATTAAATCCATGGATAAATTGACAAAAATTCCCACTGACAAAAATCTTGTTCCTGTAGGAATTAATGCAAGGTGTCTTCACACATGCACTGAAAAACACCGTACATTAAATACAGGACACCCGCAAGTCCTAATATTATTACCACTTGCAGTTTAGAGCCAATATAGGGTGTGCGTGTCAAATACTCGTATTTATACAATGACAGGTAGTTAAGCTAGTATCATGTTAATTTATGTAATATGTTTACAACCATGGTTGTAGTTTGCAGTTGTGTAGAGTAGCGTAAAACTTTACACACAGTAACAGTATCATGCTGAGATATTGTTGACCCTCTCATACAAATGAGGTAAACCAAATATTCGCGGCAGCTCTCATTATGAGTTTTCCACCTCGGCAAACTGCAACCCCGATAATGAACATACTGCTAAAGGAAGACCTCTTTGACAGTGGGTGACATTTTTACATTTGCAAAGGCAGATTATTTGATACAGTATGTAGACTAGATTTCATTCTCGTGCGCTTCTGGTGGTAAATTTGTGGCTGGCACGTTTTGTTAACTAAACACGGTATGTATTAGGTGCATTAGAATATAAAGGTAAGCATTCTTCCTTTTAATGTTAAGATAAATATGATATCATGGTGATGCCAGTGGAGAAACCTACAATGTCTGCATCTTTCTTCCTTCGCTTTTTGCGTTCAGGTTTAGGTTGCTGTAAAACAAACACAGAAATCACAGACATGAGCCTTTTTCTTTCACCTCGCTTCCACACCACTTAAAATACTCACAATTACCCCGCACGGCTAAAATGTACGAGTTCACAATCACAATGAGTATCCTTCAAAAGTTTGTGATGGCATTACCTTAGGTTGTGTGCTGTCCAGAGGTTTATACTCAGTCATGAACTCATCCAGGAAGACTTTAAAGGTGTTAACCCAAACTTTGACAGGGGACTCTCTCCAGTCCCTCTGCTCCTGCCGCATGGTCTTTTCCAGGATTTGCTCAAACAGAGCGTAGAGATCTTTGTAGCGGATGCTCTTACCATCGTCCATCTGATGTCAAAAGAGCACAGAATTGATCGAGTTGCCATGGAAACAATTATCCGGCCAAAGGTGATTGAATTTTACGGTGCGAACTGTCCGTAATTCCTGTAAGATTCCATACCGCCAGGGCTGTGGAATAGGAGTTGAAGATATTCAAACGGAATTCCTTCAATGCTTTTTTGAATACGACGTCCACCATGGTGTCCTTCTTGCTGTCCTCTGTGTCCAAGTCGTTGATCTAAGCAAAACATCACGGGTAAACTACGTTTAGCCCAAAATGTCTTCCAGCACAACAATGTCTTATTATCTATAACACACGCCTTGAAATTCAAAAGAAAGATCAACATGTTACTAATGCTCACAGTGGCATTAATTTGGGGTTCTTACAAAAACAGCTATCTTATCCTTGAGAATTTTATGAGAGGCATTTCATGCAGTGCTCCACAATAGCATGAGGCGCATAAATATGTGGACAATTGACTGACAACAGGGCCAAATCCCATTCGGACACTTAAATATCCAAATAATGCAGTATGTGACCATCACTGAAAGAATCGATGCGCGTGCGGCCTTACCTTCTTCATGAGAAAGTCATTCATGCTTCTGTAGTCATGGGTGCAGGTGAGGATCTGCAGGCCATCGCTGGGCCACTGAATAGGTTCCGCAGCCACGCTGCTGATCTTTACACTGCGCCGTCGTTTCACCTTGGGAGAAGGTTCCTTGTTCTCTTTCAAGTCTCTGAAGCCACGATCCCATGTCAGGTCAGGACTGCAGCGCGGCGATAGGTTTTCTTCACCTGATAAATGGGACATTGTGATAGCACCGTTTGGAATCTACAAGTGCGGCGAGGTTCCATTCTGTCCACACTCAACCACTTTTAATGGATTTGACTGAAAAATTAAACAAAGCATTAAACTGATCTTAAAGACCTTCTCTTAGCAGTGGCCCAATGTCTCCAGAGTCTCCGTCCAGGGAATCAGTCCCACAAATCAGCTTCTCTCTGGCGATCTTCTTATCGCTGTGCTTGGTCTTGCCCCAGAAACGCATCTTTCCACGAACTCTGCAAAAAAATTCCAGAACAAACACCTGCAAGATAAAGACTGTGAACCATGCGTAACATTGTTGTTTCAAATGCACAACATGTCATATATAATTTCCAAGATCAGGAAAACAACAAACCTTCCGTCCTGCGAGTTCTTGCGCAAAGATCCCCCTTTTCCCAGATCTCCTGATGACATAACTTTGTGTAGATCCTTTTTTTCCTCTGAGCCTGCAGGCTGAAATTAGAATGTGTGAGAACATCTACCAGTATTGGGCCAAACATGAGACGTTAGTCTATGTCACGGCCTACCAGTAGGTGGCAGCATTACAGTACAGTCACACATCCTTTTCCAGTCTCGTATCGTGCCTATTTATCACCCACAAACAATACCCAATTATAACTGACTCCTATAGGAACTCAGAGAGTTAACAAATTTGGCACCACAAATTTGGACAATGTTGAGACAGCTAAAATTGAAATAAGACTACATAGACATGCACGTTTTGCACCAAACATTTCCAACATTAAAGAAAAACTCCATAAACACCTGTGAGAGAAATAAAGGCAACGTTATGTTAGTGAACCCACAAAAAAATTTAGTAGTAGGCCGGGGAAAACACATTTGAGAAATCGCCCTCCTTCCATCTCTCGCAAATTTAACATTTACGGTTGATACATATCTCTGAAAGTGAGGTTTAGTGACCCTGTGATTCATAATTCATTTCTTCTTCTCTAGGACAGGTTGTGTTTCAATACAACATGTTTTGAGGCGTTTAAAAATGTGTCTTCCTCTGAGTCATTTGAATCAAACAGATGTGGAAGCTCAGGACAAAGAAGTGTGAGGTCTCTACGCTGTGGGGGTTAGGAGAAAAGAAGCAGAAGTAAAGAACGTAGCCAAGGCCAGCGATGGCATCGGTGGGGCCTGTTACCATGTCGGAGTCACTAAAACAGGAGCCTCCTAGGCCTTCCTCCGTGGAGCTCTGCTTGGAGAGGGGTACAGGGGAATGTTGGGGGCTGGTGGCATCATAGTCATCCTCATCTGAATCGCCCCCAACAGAAAGGATGGGGGCGCGGGTGAGGAAGTCGGAGCGAGTCCGTGACATTCGGGCTTTCTTTTTGTGCCCGACTTTTCCCACCTGGAGTTCACCAGAAGTGATAAGAGCATGTTGAAATAGCAAGACGATCGAGCCCCGTTGCTCTCATAGCCCTGTTCTTCTAGTTGTGTTTCACCACTTTGGTGTAACACAGAAATAGGACACCCGAAATATGAAAAACACAACAACAACAACAACAACAACAAAAACCCAACTATGATTCTGCTTACATCACGTGTTTTTGCTCCTTTCGGCAATCTTGAAACATATGTCGGCCCCTCTGTGGGTACAGCTTGAGATGTAGCTTTGGTGACGTTAACGCTGTCGAATCTGAAGTGAAAATATTCAAGAAAAAAAAATAAATAAAAAGAGGCATTATGCTAATTTAGCCAGCAACTTTACCTAGATAAAGAAAGATTCAACAAAATGAAATCAAACAAACATTATGTCTTCTCTGGCTCGAGAGGGAGCCCCAAAGAAAACATGTCAATAACATAATCGAGGTCCGTTTGGTTCGGAAAAACAAGACTTCAGTCCTATTTGCAGAAAGTAAAGTTTGCATTTATAGGGCAAAATTATGTTGTGTTTTTCAGTGTCTTTTCCTAGTCCCTTGGGGATGTAGTGCAAATCACCCCAAAAGTAAATTTAGGAATCAGTTTAAGCAGTTAGTCATGTATGCACACGCATAATCCAATCAAAGTTAATAGTGTTGTATAAAATCTTTCTTGACTGAGATGAACATGTTCAATTTTGATTGAGTTTGGTTTTCTCAAGATAACCAAAATACAGGGTGTTACATATAAAAAGGACATTTTTTTTTGGAGGTGGGGGGGAGTTGGCTGTGGCATAAGAAAAGAAAAGGGGGAACGGTGTCTGTGCAGGGTTACAGTTTGTTCGGCAGGGGCTGAACAGCCAATTTGACTTCCATTGTCTCACAGGTGGTACGCATATTGAACATTTGTCAATGCGCTATAAAGCTTATATTCTACCATATGCTAGTAGGATTTTTGATGCATAAATAATTGATTATTCAACATTAAAAAGATTTAGTGTCATTTTCTGGGACACTTACTCACTCAGACATGTATATTTGCCCAAAAGAAATGAAATACGGATGAGCGGAGCACTGCATTGCCACACTTTCATCACCCAAATATTGCAGGCAAATAGTGAGTAATGCTGAGATTATTATTTTTTTTCTAACTAATGATTTAAGGACTGTAACTCTGGTTAAAACTCTCAGCATTGACCCAAGTAAAGTAGATTATTTTGTTGATACTTACTTAGCAAATGTTACTTTGTCCTTGGGAGAGAAGAAGATGTTTCCCGGCTGGGCTGTCACATTTACTGTGGAGCCCTGACTACGCTGCACTTTCTTGGTGGCTGCTGTCACTCTGGTTGTTCCATCTTTGGACTGCAAGGTGAGTTTGGGTGCCCAGCCCTCCGCAGCAGACTTGCCCTCCTTATGCCTCTCCGTGGGGGCAGAGGCAGGTGGAGGACGACGTAACTGGGGAATAGCAGCACTACAGGGGACACCCTCCCTTTGTGGAGAGTGTACCAAAGGGTCAGACGATTCCGACTGGCTTCTACCGTGAGGAACTATCCCTGACGTTCCCTCAATGAGCAGAGATCTGGGTCTAGGTGGCTTGCTAGAGGCGGCAGTTCCACCAACATCGTGCTCACGCTGCCGGCTCTGTTGTATCTTCCGCAGAGCCTCCCCTCTCTGTTTCTCAAACAAGTCTCTCTCGTGCTGAAAAAAGAAAAGGCGCTGACGCTCTAATGCTTCTTTCTGTTGTCTTATCTGCTCCATCATTTCCCTCTCATTCTGTTGTTTCTGATGACGCTGCCTCTCCTCCTTCTCCTCGTTCAGCTGCACCAGCTTCTCCAAGACAACCGGATCAACCTGCAGGAGGCCAGTGGAAGCAGGGCAGGGTGCGTGAGGCGCCAGAGCTGCAACATGCCCTCGCGTCTTCCTCTGAGACCCCGTGTCAGAGACCTCAACACAGGGACGGACCAGCTCGCTCAACTCTTCGCTGAGTGGGCTTTCTTTCTGCATACTGATGACCACCACCACCGGCCTACGTGTTGACTCTTGCCTTTCTTTTAAAGTTTGAATGGTGGGAGTTGTCGAGACAGCAATCTTTGCATTTTGTTCAGGTGGCACATTTGGATGACTAGGAGTGACAGTGCTGCTTTCATTAGCAGGGACGAAAAAGGTCGGGAGGTAGTTCTCGAGTTTGGACGGATGTGTAGCGTAGCCGGCAGGTTCCGTTTGTTGCTGAAAATGGCTGCCAGGATCTGAAGCCGGCACCCTGTTGGGTTGCTCTGTCTTTGGGCTTATGGAGAAAGCCTCCAAACTTGGTTCTGACAATGCTCCGAGTGAGCCGATTGGCGAGCAGAGGTCCTCGCTGTCAGTCACCTCCTCTGTTGCTTTGGGAGCATCCTCAATACTCAAGAGTTCAAAGCTGCCTTTGGAGCTCTGACTGTCAGGTGTGCCTTGTGGTGAACACAGAGGGGGGGTGATGGAGGGCACCAGTTCAACAGACCAGCGCCTTTCCTCAGAGGTGGGCGAGCTCTCACCACAGGTCGCGCGGACCTTGAGGAGCTCCAGGCTGAATTTGGCTTGCTCCAACTCTCGCATCCGCCGGCTCTCTCGCTTGGCCCGGGTGGCTTTCTGGCTGAGCTCTTCGGTTGCTCTGAGTTTGTCTCGCACCGGCACTGTGGCTGGAGTGACTGAAAGACGTGCCTCTGAGTGCCATGTGGGTGAGCTGGCATCTTCTCCTCTCATTCTTTCCTCTTTGAACTCTCCATCGGTGCTGCCAAGGATGTTGAGTGTCCTTTCCTGATACTCATAGGAGTTGTCCTCCCAAGTGCTGAGGTGCAAACCCATGACTCCCTCAAGGGTCTCCTCTTCTGGTGAAAAGCTCACCTGTACATTCTGTAGTTGATCCTTCCTCTCCCTGAGCTTCTGTTCGGTCAGTTCTCTGAACCTGATGAGTGAAAGGACATGGAAACAGGTTAAGCTCATTTAAAATGTGATTTTTACCATCTTAGTTGACATTCTATTTTGAATACAGTTCAATGTATAGCAATCAAACGTCAACTAACTTAAAATGTTTTCACTACACCGTAAAAAAACACATCTTAAACACACACTTTAAAAGATAAATTATTGAAATGTATGGCAACAATGTTAGTGAGCACAACAAAGCCAGCAAGATGTTTGTTATAAAACTATTTGAGTTTTTTTTTTTTTAACTTAGCGTATATCTTTAATACAAGGGACAGCTATTTCTGTAAACTCTTATTTCTTTGTTGAAAATGTCGCAAAGACAATTTTCATATTAGCAATAATTTAAAAACATTTTGTTGAATTGGCCAACTTAAAATTGTGTTGAAATCTGATGCTAACTTTTTTTAAAGTCTAGATTTAGAGGCTGATGACTTTTTTTCTTTCAGCAGATCAGCTGATTATAGAGCTGACTTGTGTGCTTGCATAAGGGCTCGCTCACACTGAAATCGGTTTGAATGCTGACCATTGACCAAGTAGAATCTAAGACCACTGTGCAGACATTCAATCTACTCTTTCCACCGGCTTGCGTTACAACTATTGTTATGTTCAACTCGGTCAAGTTAAAAAATGTTCACAACACTGTTGTGATAATCGATCACTACAGACAAATCAGACTTGGCGTTACAACTACGAAAATGAAATCGGTGTTTCACACCTCTTCCATGTCTTACCGTTGCCGAGCAAGGTGGCCTCGGATTATAGCCTGGAGGTGAACCGCAGCAGCATAGAGACGCAAGTAGGCCTCTCTTGCTCGATGACAGCGCCAGGCCGTCTGAATGACCAGAGCTGCCGAACAGCGTTGGCACAGCCACAGTCGCCATGCCCTCTGAAGCACCAGCGCAGCCTCTTTCCACAAACTGAACCTGTGACGCTCCCTGTACCCCCGCCAATGTGTCTGCAGGCACAACGCTGCCTTCCCATGGGCATTCTGGTCAATGTGCACTTCCTCGGCTTCCATGAGTCGGTACAAGTGCCACCATTTCTGTTGGCAAATAAATAACGCTGAATATTATTGCCTTTTAATTTTAATGTCAGTTCTTGTCTTTACATGGAATACACTGTTGCTCATGAACTTTTTGGAGTTCGTTCAATCTGAGTAATTAGCAAATAATGTCATCATTGCACCAGGTCAAAAGGGATTTCCAGTGTATATAACATGATGTGCCTAAAAAATAAATTATTGAAACTATGGGCAATGGTGTACATCAACATGGACTCCTTACAGAATGGGAAATTGACAGAATGACAAGATGAGGCTGAAAAGCTCAAAAGCAAAATAATTTTGGTGGTAATCAAAAGAAAAACATTTATTGTATGCGTAGTTTGTCAGAAGACAGTGGCGATAGTGTTAACAGTCAGATTATACCGTATATTACTGACATTTTAGTTTGGAAATAATACAAAATCAACAGATTGCAAACTAAGTCTGTTTCGAAAAAGAAAACTGCAAACAGCAAAAAAGCTCATGGTATAATAATGTAAGGAACGTTTTCTTGACAATATTTTGAAATAAGTCCTCTTGAAATGCGATTTTATAAATTTCTCATAGCAAAGAATCAGAAGGCAGAGAAAAATTAAACGGGGGAAAAAATACTTTTCCCTTATTTAGAAGACGGAGGGGGGGAATAATCCATTGTTTTTTTTTCTCCCCAAATATAACCAATTCACAACTAAAAAAAAAAACAAGAAACAAAAAAGAAAACAAATACAGGCAACGTAAAGTTGTAACGAATCCAACCAAAGCAGACGCAGAAGGAAGCATACCTGGATGCAGACTGCCGCCGCTCTCATTCTAAGAAAGTGTTTCCTCTCCAGTTGGGCTCTAAACTGTCGTTGCAGCACAACGATAAGCCTGAGAACCTCACTGTGGAGTTGGGCCTGCAGCTGCTGACGCGCTGCCTCCCGCAGAAACACCTGAGAGGAGGGAGCACCATAGAGTTAGCGTAAGGTAACAAGGGCTTAATAAAGGCAGAGGTTGGAGACTCCCCCTTAGTACTGCAAACTGTCGCGAGCAAGCGCACACACAAACTTCAGATATCTGACACGTGGCCACAAAAATGTCAGGTATGAACTTGTAATTATATAAACAGCCTCCTGAAGACATGGACCCTTATCCATGTTGACGACACACACCCTACCAAATATGGGGCACTGCCTTCATTACATAGTCACGGTAACAGTTCTGATCCCTCGCTATCCCTCCTTCATGTCCATATAATTAAATGTGCAAAGCATTTTTTTTATCCATTTTCTTTTTACTAAATCAATGGCAACATACGTACAATACAGTATGTACAAATCCTAAAAAGCTGTGCTGTGACAGCATGAGCGATAAATCGTTATTGAGTTTCACTGTCCTTGTAGCGTTCTGTCAACATATTTTGCTCGTACCTGAAGCTTAATGCGCCCTTATGAACGACATCCATTGCTTCATATATCTGTGTAATATTATTGGCATATCACAAACAGAGGCTATCGAAGAAGCTTCGTATACGAGAGTGACAGGAGAGGAAGGCCCAACGATACCATTGTCTTGCCGACTTGATACCCATCTGTTTCCAGGTCCAGCTGGTCCAACCAGTGCTGGATGTCCTCTCTGGTGGTGCGGATGCTCTCTGGGAGCAGCACATAGAAGTGATGGACAAAATCCTGTTTAGAGCAGAAAACAAAGAACAAAGAAAATGTTTATTGGTTGACAGATCAGGTTATGTTCTGGTCTGAGCGTTACATAAAAAAAAAAATTGTTATTGAAAAAAATTCATTTGAGGATTGTTTGCATAAAACACTTGAACAATTACCAAGTACCAAGTACAACTTTATTGTCAAATGTTCTGTATGTGCATATAGCACAGATAAAATTTCCTCCCTCTTAAACAGACAACAGACAACAGGAGGAGCCGCTGTGGGTGCCTGCGCCGCCATCAAAAGAACACTTAACATGAAATGACAAAATAATACAACACAACACATAAAACCATTAATTGTGTGGCCTACGTCACAGACCTAAGTAACAGACATTGAGTGCACCTGATAAAGCCCACACTTGAGCAAGGCCCAAGGCTGAATAAAAGCTGCAAGGGAAGAAGTAATTTCAGGAGAACGCCTACGCTGTTCATTTTTGCATCACGGTAGAACTATGCTCAAGCCCACTCTTCAAACTGAGGCTCAATTGTGTGGCTCCAATACACGGCATCCTGAGCTGTTGGGGGTGGATGGGGAAACTGATGCCGTGTTTATACAATTACAAGCATGGGGAGTGTTGCAAAATGGTGAGGACAATGGACACGCTCTGTCCTAAGGAGTCAGGGTACGATCAAATCTGTGAAAATGATATCATGCCAAGGATATTTGTCATTAGTGCTGACCGCAGCGCTAAATACGTCTGGGCGAATGTCTGGCAAATGATGAACAGTGACGCTCAAGATATCTATAGGGGTGTTCACACGGCAACTTTTACTCCGGTGTAGCACCGGTGCTGCCCCCCCTAGAGCGTTCACACGTACAAAGTTATACCGGTGTAGCCCCTGAAAACAGCTTAAATTTAACCCTGCTCAAGAGGTGGTTTAAAAATTTACTCCGGAGTAAATGCTAGTTTGCGGGGCGGCACCGATATAAAATGGGACGTGTGAATGCTACAGGGGTAGACTCGCTACGCGTGAGAAGAGTTGATTACGTACGGGTAGAATGCATTGCTTTCGTGCTCTGTTGTACTTCCGTCATCTCTCCTTTTGTAGGTGACTGGACTGTCTCGGAGTTGTTTGTGTAGTTTGTTCCTTTGTTGTGTGTTCACAAACCCCCCATAGAATTTATTTTGTCATTTCCTCTCTTGAATTTCTGTTTGGTGCATTAATTTTGTTTTTCTGAGTGTCATTGAAGTCATCGTTGATTTACCTTTTCCGGGGCGGTCATTGAACGCCTCTCGAGCAGAAAGCACGGAGACGGAGAAGGAGAAGGACGTGCCTGTAGTTGCTTGAGTTAAACAAACTAATAAAGTGTATGTTTTAAAAAGAACCAACACGACAGCTCTCTTTGTTTCGGAGCTGCAACACTTTCTCTCTCTCATCCTTTTACGGTGTCTGATAGACCACAGCGTTGATTTGTCTGGAGAACAGTGGCGGAATCTGGTCTGTCAAGGAGGGGAAGCTCAATTTCGGCCTACATCATAAAATGTGTCCGTTTATTTATACGTGAATTCTACTCTCCGTTCCTCTTCAAGAAAATGATCTGTGACCCTTTGGTGATATAAGTCAGTCTGCGAACACAAGCAGCTACAATAAAACCCACCAGAAATAAAAGATCAATTTGTCGCTAGTCGTTTACAACAAAGAGAGTGTCGCTCAGATAATTAGAAGAAGTCTCCAGTTCAACTCAGAACAGAATGAGAATTGAAAAATGCTCCCACCATGCCTACACCAAAATATCGGTGATTGGCTCATTTCGCTGTCAATCCAAAAGAGATTCAGCCTCAGAGAGATCATCCAATCATCATGCAGAAAAGCTCAGCGTCCCGCCCAGCCCATAAACGCCCACTGTCCATAGACTCCCAGAGACGCTGAGCATCCGATGGGCGGGACAAAACCAGCATTTATCCAATGACTCGTCTTATTTCAATGCATAGGGACAACCGACACTGAACTCTCTCGACGCCCAGCGTCCGCGCGGTCGACGCTCAGCGTCCACACAGTTTAAAGCACAGTGAAGCTGCGGGAATGAATGAGAAGAGAGTCGCGTCGTAACCAGTGATAAGAAGCTGATTCGGAACAAAAGTTGAGCGCGTTTTAGCGCATATTTAGTCAATGACATGTACACACAATTGTATGTACACACATGTATTTGATCGCTTCTTTTTGGACATTTTAGGGGAAGCTGAGCTTCCCTTGCAGTCTTAGAGCAATCGCCTCTGTATTGCACGGCCGCAGAAACTGTCGTGTGAATGCAAATGGGGCTGCACCGCGGTTAACACGCTTCTCTTTAGTAAGCAGCTTCATACGTGTGCACGCTACACCGGTGTAAGATATGTCGCAACAAAATACATTTGTGCAGCAACGATGCAAATGTGTGCCGTGTGAACACCCCTTTAGTAACCTCATCATAAAGCGTACTTTCATGAGTCTCACTCACCTCACCCAACGAAGTTATGGTAATTATGTACAGTACACTACCATCCACAAAATCGGGTCCACCTCCATAACACATTGTTAGAGGAATCTACGAACAGAATGATATCACGTTTAAAGTTCCATTCAATATGGGCCTGTCTAGACGTGTTGTGTATTTAGCGCCCCCAAATGTCTGCGCGCGAGGGTGTCGGCCGTCTCGGGAGGAGGCTCTTTGAATCCATAGTAATCACATTACTGCAAGAGTGCGAACAGATAGAAGGAGGCTAGACTCAGTCAACAGTTTAGGAACGAAGTGTTTTAGGACATCAAAGGACCGTCTGGGAACTGGTCGTGGCCCAGGCGACCATTTATCATCTGCGAAGTCTGCGATTTGTTTATTCGTGGGAGACGGTGTTAAAGTATCTGTGGTTCAAAGCTTGACAAAAGCTAATCACATCGCCGACCGAGGGGCCGGACTGGGGGTGTGGTATGCAAATATCAGGGGCAGTGTCTTTCTTGTATTTTGCAAATGTAAACAATAAAAGTCCGATGAGGAGCACCGAGTGTGATCGCGGAGCAACTGCCCGCCTTTCGCTCTGAGAGATCCACTGCCGTCGGACTGCACCAACAACCTTCCCTGAGTCGAGTTGTTCTGTTTAAACTTGTCCGGGTATAACTCTGACACACATCTAATCACATTCAATATACTCAGCTCAGAACAATCTTCAAACTGTTGTTTCATGATGATGCACTGCAGTTTAAACTGCTTAACTTTCAACGGCAGTACATCATAATGGAAGGTGTTTCTTCAAGGTGCCGAGTTGAAAGTTTAAAGATGCTCCTTTGTATACTTTGGTTCCAAGTTGAGTTGATATTTTAAATATTACTGCATTACTCTTAGCTCAAATCAGTTCGCCACCAACCTCTGTCACCAATCAAGGCACGTTTGCCAGGGAAATTGAAATGCTGCCTTTTTGCTTTAGTTTTTGTAAACCCTGCAGATAGATAGATGTATAATTAAAACTGATCCAAAGTGTCTCACATGCCTGTCTGAACCGCACCCTGTTGAAAGTCACTAAACGAACCTTTCTTCGTGTTTCTGATGCGCTGATTGAATTTAGGTGGACCCTATGAAGTGTCCAGTAAATGTAGAGTAGTGTACAAAATCAGCAAATAGCACACCATATTTCTAAAATGCCCCTCCTATTACAACCCAAAAATCTGCTTTACAAACACCGGTGGACCGCAACCAACCTAAGGTGATAGCACAGTGAGTGACAGAAGATGTGTATCTTGAAATGAACACACTTCTTCTTGTTGCCTGGATCTGTATTGGGAGCTATTATCGAGCTAAGTTCAATAATAATGACACCTTTTCCTATCCTAACTTTGATTGATGACACTAATTAGCAAACAGTGATTGTTTAGCTACTTAGACAACTGACAGCTCAAACCTCACTAACTACACTTTGACAAGATCTAAAATATTACGATACATTGACACAGTGGCTCAGGGGCATATTCTCCAATATGCTTAAGTCGGAAAAGGCGCACTGCTGCATATTTTTTTTTGACTTTACAGATTCTCCCATCTACTTGGGTGTGTGACTTAAGCCCCGTCATGAAATGTACATACTCTGGGCGGAGCGACCTTGGAATGAGAGCAGTCCCGGACAAATCTGTCAGTGCGCGTACTCTCCCATGGACTTAAGCATCTTTTCTCTTCCACACTCCAGAGGATGTACTACGGTGTAGCGCCTCTCAAAGGTGAACTATCATATTGCACGTTGAGAGTCATTTCATAGTTGCTGAGGGCGGGATGACTTGTCACCGGCTGACTCGCGTTGACGAGGTGAAGGGTTGGTGGCGTGGCTCACACCTGGCCCATATACGCTCACCGACTGCCCGACGTCTGTATATGTGAAAATCGACTTCATATCACATTAATCCATCAAGCGTTCAGTCATGAGCACCGTATTCTGATTAAATTGCTTTTATGGATTCATCAAAACGTGAATGGAACAACACATGCTCTTCAAAGTAGCTAGTAGATGAGCCACACACACACACACATCCCTGGCGAGGATCGATTAACTTCCGGATCCACTAGTTTATTTCATATCGTCCAAGGGGATCTCTAAGGAATTTCTGTCACAGGAAAACGCCACGTTCTGGAAATTAGGGCCATCCTCATTCTTCACCTAATCACACCTCTTTGGTGGTTGAACATGAATTTCCAGGTTACGCATGGTGAGTGTGTCAGAAGCCTAGAAGCCTATTCCTTTTTTACATTTTATGAAGGCTTTGACACAAATTTACATCCAAAACCAAAAAATGGCAAGAGATGAAAGAAAGCTATGAGCCACCAACACGCTGGACTGACATCATTCTAACACATTTCTATGGCAGAAAGTGAATTGTATTTGAGCGACATCAGCAAAAAAAAAATTTGGGGGGGATCAGACTTCACCACTCGAGACTTGTGGAAAACTGAGTGTCAAATATCTTTCAAGCTTTGGGGGATTTTGAACAGTCAGATTGATGGTACATCTGTGTTCTGGCTAGCACATGCTTGCAGAGAGGGAAAAAAAATGTTAATATGATACACAGATGCACCCCGTTTACTGGCTAAACTTTGGCCCGTTGAGGGTTTTCTTTCTGGAGAGCAATTCTAAACCACAGATAACCATCAATTTTCAACATAAACTAGTCACATTGTTCACCACTTAGCTTGTGGAACAGATGAATAATGTTTTCTGTGGCAGGGGAATGGGGAGTCGAGTCGTCTTTCTGAATATATACTGTACTCTTTTAAAGCCTCGTTCCCACTGTTGGGTTCAGTTCAGTTCAGTATTGCACATTTTTCGGCAATGTAAAGTAGTGTATTAAAATACACCACTGGTCACACTTCCACTCATAGAATCATGGCTTTCATAAAGATTTAACAAGGCTTTAACAAAACACAGCTTGTCCTCTTGAAATAAAACAGCCACAAACCAAGATGAAAGAACACAAAATGCTTTATGTCGTTAATTGGATCACATTGCTCTCTGAGTTCAATGGCAGGTCACACCACTATGTCCTCACACTAGTCACAAAAATAAAAAATAGCATCCAAGCCACCATCGTACCATGAAAGCCAGATTCGATTTTACTAGTGGTGGTAAAAGTATGACCCACGGGTCACACACAACTGACTCTGCTCTTTAATCAAGCCCACTGGAGCATTATTATTATTGTTTTTTTTTTTTTTTATTCATTCATCTCATTCAACAATTGGTGAACTGATTTACTGTAAATAGAACAACAAATCTTTGATGTATACTGGTACATTACACATGATTTATTATGTAATTGGTTAATTAATTATCAGACTAATTCAACATTATAATTAGAAATCAGACTGAATAATTATTTTAGTATAACAATTCACACATATATATATATATACACATACATACATACACACACACACACACAAAAAATATATAAATAAATTTTCATTGGCCTTTCTGTCCTGGCCACACCCTATCTCCACCCCCAACCCGTTTCTGAACAACTTGACCCAGCAGTCTGTTTTAAAAATATAATGTGGCCCTTGCGTACAAAGGTTTTTCCACTGCTGTGCCATCCCATCCCAAAGCACATGATAGAGAGCTCGACTGAAGTACCCCACTTTAAAGTGTATTCCGACTTGATAAGGGTTTAAATAACTGAGGGTCCACATGTCGTTGCTGCAGTGGGACAGTGACAGCAATGTTACCTTGAAGCTGTACTTGACGTTGTAGCCTGATTGCCGGATGCGCACAGTCTCCAGCATACCCGTGTAGCGCAGCTGCCTCAGCACCAGGTTGTCATTGAACCGCAAGGGCAGCTGCAAAATGGAAAGTGGAAGTTTGAGGAACGGAAACGCATGGAGAATGACACAAGAGGGAGCAGCAAACGGCGGAGGGCGAAAAGAGAAGAACAGGAAATGATCAACAGCTCTCGAGTACTTCAAGGGATATGGACGGAAATGCTTTGGGAAAAACTAAACAATCAAAGTGGCTGCCGTCCAAGTTGCTCTTGCTTTACCTTCTCAGCATTGGAACGGATGCACTTGACAAAATAAGGCTCAGACTGACCCAGGGTCTCCATTAGCTTATTGAGAGAGGCCTGCAGAATAGCACACATACACAAGACATCGAATGAAACAATCAGACCGAATAAAACCTGTCACACTTTGCTGCTTCTTTTAGCAGTCGTCGCCAGGTGGGACTTGTCAGTTGTGAATCACACTCCCCCCCTCCCCCACATCTCCTAGTTAAACTATTCTTCTTCAAGATAACACCGATGTAATCATAAACAATGTAAAGACGTGGTTTGTGCCGTATGTGTGTGTGCGCGCGCGAGCTTGTGTCAGCTGCAAGAGGAATTCAGCCTCTGCCTCCTCCATGGGAGATTAAAGCAATCAGTACAGCACAGGATGTGGGAAGTGAAGTCATCCACGCAAACGGGCCAGCAGCTCTTATTGCACCGCTACCAACAACCATTTCTCGCAAAGAAAACAGAAAATCAGCAAATAGCAGTTTGTGCTTGGTTTTCTTAACTGTTCAGTGGAAACTCTTTAAAGTCGGGATCCCCTGACATTTTCCAAATGCTAATTCAACCAAATCTTTCCAGTAAGATAAACTCTCAGTTCACACTTAAAAACCCAGAGGTCTATCTCTCATCAGGAAATGCATTACAGGGCATATCTTGTTGAGTATTAGCAAATTCAGTGAAACTTCAGAAGCGTAACCATGTCGAGGATTTTTGCTGTTTCTTCAAGATGAACTAAACACTATTCAGTTAAGGCGGCACAGTAAGCTACTGGTTAGCGCCTCCGCCTCGCAGTGCAGAGGTGCGGGGTTCGATTCTGGCAGCGGCCTTCCTGTGTGGAGTTTGCATGTTCTCTCCGTGCCTGCGTGGGTTTTCTCCGGATACTCCGGTTTCCTCCCACATTCCAAAAACATGCGTGGCAGGTTAATGAAACACTCTAAATTGTCCCTAGATGTGAGTGTGAGCGTGAATGGTTGTTCGTCTATGTGTGCCTTGCGATTGGCCGGCATTCAGTTCAGAAAGGGTGTCCCCTGACTCCTGCCCGAAGACAGCTGGGATAGGCTCCAGTATGCCTGCGATCCTCGTGAGGATACGCAAATTCGAAAATGGATGGATCAATGTATTCAGTTAAGACGGTTAACACATTACTTCAAACAGTGTCTGCACCACGACTAATTATTGATGACAGTTTGACTCTAGAATAGATTGTTAGAAGTTGTCAAGTCACCATCCTAAACTTAGTCACAATTCCAGTCAATATTTGTTCATTGTGTGACGTTCGTAACCTGGAAATGTTGGTTATGAGAACAAAATGCCTCAGTTCTCCTGAACAAATGATTGAACAAACGTGTGGCTATTGAGTGACGATGCTGATGCTGGTGTGCTGCTGCTGCTTCTGCTTCTTTCACTTTCTCCACTGTTGTCACGCTCCGTAGTGAAACTTCTGCTTGATGCATTGAAAGGGAATCCGGGACCGACATGTAGGGCTCATTCATCAGGAGCCAGCGAAAACGCTCCTCAGCACATATGCCTTCTCTGAGATTTTAAGGAGTGTGTGAAAGGCACAATGAACTACCTACACCGACTTTAACTGATTTGCACCACATTTGCCAAATTCATAGTGAGGAGAGTGAAACATCAGTTTTGAAAAACTGCACTTTAAGCTTAAGCTTTTGGCGTACGTGCGTGTCTGTCTGACCTGGAATTGTGCACTGATACTGGGTGGTTTCTTCTTCTTGTGAAGGTGAAGGAGCGACTTGGTGATGCGGTCATGAAGCGTCAGGTTGCTGAGGTACTTCAGTGACTTGACATTCAATAAGTGCTGCGAGTGGCAATCAAGGCAAAACACTGTCCATGAACATTCCATAACGGCACATATGATATAGGTCCAAAAAAAATGTTCAGCTTACCTTTGGAAGAGCTGGCTTGGCTTTGTAGTTTTTGTTCCTCCTAGAAAATCATAAGGGATCCAAAGAAAATCTGTCAGGTGTCGTCTTTTCAGTTACTTTCATTGAAATCAACAGGTAAATTTCAATGTGTTTATAATGTAAAATTCATCCATTTTCGAGACCACTTGTCATCAAAAGGGTGACAGGTCAGGTCGTGTCTATGTCAGCTGGCTTTGGGCAAGAGATGGAGGAGACCCTGGATTTGTCGCCAGCCAATCGCAGGGCACATACCGACAAACACACTTAAATTCCCAACTTTGGACAATTTGGAGTCTTTAATTTAGCTAGCATGCTTGTTTTTGCAATGCTGTAGAAATCCGGAGAAGCCGGAGAAATCCCACACAAGCAGAGAGCAGAAAAACTCGACGCAGGCAGGCCAGAGCCGAGAACCTCGAATCTCGGAATGGTGAGGCAGACACGCGTCTGCCGTGTTGCACTAGGAAGTGAAATGGTCCTTCAAATATAGACAGTTTTTTAAAAAATTCATCCGGTTCATCCCCAAAAAGGAGAGGGCACTCACATGAGAATGTCATGGGCTCGCTCCAGAAGCTTGCTGCTGGCAGAATTGACAAAGATGCCATCTTCGTCTGTGGTGGAGCTGCTGGATGATAAGCGGCTCTGTCGACCCACACGCCCGTTCCACATAAGGGCCGGCGAATTTCTATCATAAAGCACCAACCAAAGTTGTCTCACATTTAGCAATTTATTTATTCTTTCTTGGTGTGAATACTTTTTACTGGAGTTACTTTGTGTCTCTTTTTGCTGGCAATGGAAAGGGCACAACAATTTATCCACAAACCCAGAGCTGTCAACACTGAATGTGATTTGACGACCTGCAAACTAGCAGCCTGCATGTTCATATTCAGACCTGTTGCAGAATTCAAAATGGCCCACGTCTCCTATGCAGAAAATGACATTTGAGTTCTAAGAACTTGTGTGGTTTCGGTATTCTTTACAGTATAACTACACACTGCAATATCCAAAAGAGAAGAGCCACAAATCATCTGATCACCCCTGCCCTAAAATCTTAAACTTAAATTTTTCCCCAGTCGATCATCAGCTTGAGTAAAAGGTGATGCACAATACAGCTTTTGTGTTAACTTGTCTATCCCCACGGTCTCTGTGAGGGCCCCCCTTTAAGCACCGCAGTGTGCACCGCGCAGTCCAGTTGACAAGCACCTTGTCCGGACTGAATATTTATCCCACCCGAGGCATTTCTCACCAATACATAGCTGTGACTTTACATCACCGAGGAAGCAGCTGCTCAATTAATTTGGAAAGAAGAGAGCGTGTGAGTGTGAGAAAAGGAGACCACAAAGAGTGGGCAGAAGTCGCAAATTAAATTAAGGAGGGATTTAACACCCCCCCCGACTGTGTCTAACAAAAGCAGACTTGGGCGGGTTGTACTACCGGTCATGAGCCGTGAACCGCTAATCTGATGGTCCACAGCTAATTAGACAAGTGATAGTTCAGAGTTTCAGTGGGACAGTGTGACAGCCGCCACTGGGGGCCAAAGCACGGATAATGCGTCTCTTCATCGTAACAGATCACAAGTGTGATCACATACCAAAAAAAAAAAAAAAAAATCCTTCATAAAGGATAGCCCTGTTTATGAAATATGGAGAAGAATCATATTTATGGAGCCTCTCTCAGATGTATTGTACCATCTGTATTTTAAATAACCATGAAAATCCACGGTGCGGACAAATGTATGTGAACTTATGAATTAAAATGTAGGAGTATTATTGTACCTTTTCTTCGGGTTTTACACTTCTTTCCATGGTTTACATGTTGGGTTTTTTTTTTGTTTTGCTTTCTTTTTTTGTTTGTTTTGCTTTGGGTTCTTTTGTTTCTTTTGCGTTGTTTTTTTTTGTTTTTGTCAAACAGCAAATGTAATAGATTTTTTTTAACCCTTTCGGGGACAGCGGTTACTACAGTGGACAGCTTACCATGTTATCAGGTTACAGGGTGCATATTTCCCCAGTGCGGCACAAATAAAGGTTATCTTATCTTAAAGGGTTCAGATTAGAAACATGCCAAATGCAACAGAAAACATAATTCATGGTCAGACCCTTACCGTGGATATTTTTCATAGATGGTGTTGCTCCCCTGATGGTCTGACAACGGTGGACGTGGAGTCCTTCTGCTCACACCTGTTCACCAACAGACAGCAGTGTGTAAACATCGCGCGACTTTCATTCCAAATCTAAACTCTAAATCATTCGAAAGTCAAAAAGAACAAGACTTCGGTGTTATTGCAGTGTATGTTATGGGCCTCTTCAGGGTAAGTGTTTTATTTCAGAAATAAAGGTCTGTGAGGGTTAAAATTAGTTACTCTTGTTAGTGTCAAATTATAGAAGAGGGTGTTTAGTCACAATGCTTTCGTTTTGCTCTTTTACAATGACATACTCAAAGCAGCATTGTGCTCTCAGGTAGTACGTAATACTGCGGCCCTAATGCTAAAAAGTGTGATGGCAGAGCGGCGATAGGCCTGCAGTTTCTAAAGGAAGCTTTGTATTGGTAATAATTGTGATGAGAAATTCAACATCTAATAGCGTGTTAGCCTAACTAGAAAAGAGATCGATTTATCAAATGGCTCATGGCAGCACTGTATACCGTTTTCAGTCTCATCAATTTGTACATTTTCACTCTCATCGGGAGCTGCGGGACAGCACAAAACAAAAACACAAAGATATACATTTGAGCATCATGAAAAAAAGACCCACAAAAGTGGCATGTGAAAAAACCCTGGGGGTCTATGTGTAAAGCACCCACTGTAGGGAAGAACAAAAGCAGCAGGAATACACACATACACCGACCAACTGAACGAATATAATATGATATCTCTTACAAGAGCTGAATCAAATATTACGGCTTTTATGAAGATAATAACTGACACTGTCATAGATGTATTCATTGAAGATTTTTTTTTTTTTGTGGTTCAAGTTGGCAGTGTTGTAGCACTGTGCAGAACTGTACTGCATAATGACAGTTATGTCTAAACTTGTGGTTACCTCATTTAGTTAAATGACAGAATAAGAAATATGAGACAGCTTATAACTCTGATCGTCTTGATCAATATCGAAAATTACAGGGGGGTGTCGGCCACCGATAAAGTTCTGTTCCTAGAGCAGTAAACCGAAATTTGATCAGAACATGCCCTCGATGATCGCTAACCTTTGCTAGCCCAGTTGATGAAGCGTAATTCGACTAAATAAACAACTGGTCGCGTTGCCTTTTGTCACATGACGTCGTATTCTTACACCACTGATCAAACTGTCGTTTGTGGGCCATTCGGATCATTTAATTTGTGTCGGTGCTGCCGTCAAATGTGGCTTCCCTCTATTATCTCGGTTCAGGCAGAATATTGGATTAAGCTCTTGCATTGGATATCATGATACGTCACTGTGCAAGTGGTCATAATGTTGTGGCTGTTGGGTTTCTGCGATGCAACCCATCAGTCATGACTCACCATCACCGGCATGGGTAGCTGTGCAACACGGCAACATTTCTGTGCGCTGTGATGGACAAGCAACTGCCCTCGAGGACAATAAAGGTCAAAAGTGGACACGGGAGCAGCAGTGATGGTTGCCTAGCAGCTGTAATTCGTCTCGACAAAGCAACAGCAACATGCATTTCTTTGCTGGCCCTCGACTCACATTTTAGTGACGTGGCATGCTTGTGAAAAAAGGCTACAAAACAAAGCGTTCGGCTATTGTAATGCAAGAGGGAAGAGGGTAGACAGAGAGAGAGAGGAGACCAACAAGCATCTAGACTGATAACAGAAAACCAAGCGCTGGAGACAAGAATCACATCGCAGTCAATAAAGCCTGTGAATTGTTGTCTTAAATTTGAGTGCCACGGTTCTGATCTCTCTTGGTTTGATTCGAGCTGCAGCGCAGTGCAGTTATGTTGATGTTGGTTGGCCTCATCCCTGATCCTGAGTTTCCCAGCGGTCTGTGGGCTGACAGGTAGAGGAGGAGGAGTTCTTTTCTTTGGCAGCCTTACTGTGCTTCTCCTCTTTGCATCTCTGCAGGATCTCTAAGCTTCTCTGATGCACAGGGTGCTGCAGAAAGCTAAAGCTATCCACACTGTTCAAAACTGCACAGGGAGCAGCGTCATCATGCCCTTGGAGAAGCAAAACAAGATGAGAAGAGAAACAAGGGGAGAAAGAAACACATGGACATACAACACAGGGAAAGGAGAGAAAATTGAAAGATTAGACAGTGAAGGGAAAAAAAGAGATGCAGCTGTCTACCGCAGAGAAACAGACATCGCAAGACGTTGGGACATTGGAGATTGCATTTGATGGATGCATGATTTGATTGCCATTACTCAACATGTATTCTATGCATTAGGTGTTGCGAGCCACGGCGTTCTCCCTTTCATAGTTTCAACATGTTCGAAGAAGAATAACCCTTTGCTTGAAGTCATGTTAATTATAAGAAGTAGTGGCCCTAATTTGCATACGTAGTGTGTGTGGATGCATGTCTGTGTGTTTGTGTGTGTGTGTGTGGGGGGGGGGGGGTCTTGTGTTTAAATTCACATGCACTGTATAGACCATCTTGCCAACATCTCAGATTTCGAATGAAAATGATATCACGATCTGCTGCTGTGGCAAGCAAAGAAAGAAAAGTTCAATTTCAATATCAAAAGTGTGTTGCTTGAGTGGAGCTTCCTTTGAAGCAAAGGCAAATACTGCTATTTATTTGCTATGTATTTCCTGGGAAAAACAGCCGCCTTTTCAAATGTATAACGCATGACATGTTCTGTCACACAGCAAATACAGCGATAGTGTAAAAAAGCGGCATTCGTGTTGGCGGAAAGATTGGAGAAGGAGAAAGAGCCGTAGGGAAAAAAAAGACATGTCAGCCATATGATGAGAGAACACAGCACGGAAACTAAGGAACAGCAGTTGAAAAAGCATAAAATATGTCATGATGTAGCAAAAGCCACCAACAATGAACAAACGGGACAGAACTATGGGCGGTATGTTTGCCATTTGATGGCTTTAAATCACTTTCTCATCTTACAACATACATTAGTTTGCTGACAAAGGTTCATAAACAGAGCTCAAGAGGATACTCTTCGATTGGGTGATAACACATAACCATTCCAATACTTGTTTAAATCTCTACACTTCAAAATGAATTCCCCTTTACAGTACATGGATTTTAAAAAAATTCATTTTTGGACAATATCACTCGCATCAAATAGGTTGCCTGATTTTTTACTGTATACTCAAAACGGGGCTTTAATTGTGCCAAACAAAAGGTATATCCACCTGTGAGAGAACTTTTTTTTTTTTTTGCACTCACCAGCCCTCCTTGGGGTGTGTCTCTTCCCAGCCTCTCTGAAAGCCACCACGGCCCTGAAGTAAGACCGGAGTACCGCCCAGCGGAAGGTGGCTGACGGATCGATGCCAATCAGACTGCAGATGAAGGCATTCTTGCTGCTCTTCAGTAGCGCCACAATGTCTGGTCGCATATGGTCTGTGTTCTTCTCTCTGAAATCCTGTGTGGAAGACCCAGAGAGAGACAAATGCTTGCCACACCACATCTTCAAATCAAAATCGGGAGTATTTCAGAGGAGGTCACAATAATGGATTAATACTAACAAATGAGCAACTGGAGAAATGACACAAACAGATGGACGCTACAGTTAAAAACATTTCCAGCTAGATTTGTTTGTGAAAAGCAGGTTCTTTCCGGCTTTATTTTGTGCTCGACAATCTTGCACACTGTCCATCATTGACTAATCCTGAGTACCATTTCTCCATATCAGGCTCTTACACCAAACATTCATGTGTGGTCTATTGAGTTGCCGCTAATTTTAATTGCTGCTCTTGACTGACAGCCAGTAATGGAGCACACCTCCAGCCCCTGTTCCTGTACTGTTATCTTCATTTTGTTTGTTTGTTAGTGGTTAATTATCTTATGGTTTAGTTAATAAATCCCAAGGTGTTGTTTCTGCTCATTTAGAATAAATAAGGGTGATTTCCAGGGCCCATATAAAAAGACCTTCAAAGGTCAGTATGAACCGTTTAATTCATACTATACACTGGGCGCTCGCTTAGTGATGGTCCCAGCAGTCGACGTTTCGTGGTTACACATGATGACCTCAGTTTTCCCCTTCAAGGGTGCGAGGAAACCTCAGGAGTAAAGGTATGGAATTGTTCTAACTTCTGTTTTACATTTTAACATTTACTATCTATGGCCCCCAGTGTTTTTTAGCTTAGCATTTCCTGTCATTAAAAGTTCCCCACTTAGAGGCATAGGCTAGTGAGAGAGAATGAGTATGTTCCGATTTACACAGAAAATCTGATTACCACAGTGTGATAGCACCCGCCGCCTCCTTTTGAAATGAACAAATGGCAGAATATAACGTTGTTAGCAAAGGGCGTCCAAGTAATCTGAGGAAATGAGATCCAAATGTCGGTCTCATTGTCTGTGAACGTCAAAAAATTCTGGAAATTCAAACAAATGTCCAGTACAATCCGGAACTGAGGTTCAAACTGACCTTGACACCATACTTGACCTTGCCAGCATAGTGTCGTATAATGAAGGCGGGCTCCATGACAGCAGGGAACTCGATGTACCTATTCCCCTCATGCTGCCGCTTGAACTTATCCAACAACGTCTGGTTGGTGGCTTGTGGGAAGCTGAAATCAAAGACGAGTTTTTAAACACGCAACAATCTTGGCAAAGGGCACAACAATGGCTTTTGACATCTGCGCTCCAAATGAAAACATCTTGAGGGAGGAGTTCTGCAAAGAAAACAGTGTTTAAAGCCACGTCGCAAACACACTTGGAAAAACACACCGGCAACAGTCAACTCATTCCTGTTATGTTCATCGCATTTTAAAATAATACATCGATAAATCAACATCTTTCATCCAAAGAGTATAACAAGACACTGCTACTTCCAACCACTATTGTGTCAGATGAGTTAAAACGATTTGATCTTTAACCAGTCAGACATTTTATCTTCTGACAATGCAGTCATTGCAAGACAATTGGAGCTCATACAGTCTCTTGCTCCCTTTTCTTATCAAGAGCCAGAACCGCTGCGGAAAATCAACAGATTACAGGAAGAGCGAAGGAATGAGACACCAGGGGTTTTTGAAATCTGAGCTCAATCAAAACACCACCGACCTGATGCTTTGCAGGCCTCTAAAGCTGGAGGAACTTCAGTGTCCAAATGCTGGGTCGCAATACAGTACAACAGACAAAACTAAAGATGGCTCAATAAATGATACCGACGTCACTGATCTCGGATGAATGGGCCTGACTCACAATGTCTGTTTCAATTCACTTCAAAGATGTTTCATACAGTTGAGATCACGGCTTTCAAGTTTGTCCGCATTAAACTCATCCAACCGCTCCTTTAAGGACCTTGCTTTTTGAAAACAGCGGGCTCAATCACCCAGGAACGCAGAGCGGCCTTCCCTAAAGTGTTCCTACAGAGTTGGAAACATAAGATGGTCCAAAATGTCTCGATCTCGAAGATGAAGTTTATATGGGGCGAGGCACTGAAGCATTTAACAAATACAAATTAATGCACATTTTTTAATGGTGAGGCTTGTGATCTCCACCCCAACACACAAATAATTAAACAGTGGGCTCACTTGCACTCTTCATCCAAGAGGTGGAACAAAGCTGTGGGCTTCTTGCTGATGAGATTGATGCAGTCCGTATTGTCAATGTAGTCTATAGTTCTCCAGCTGATGCCCTCCGCCCTGTAGTCCTCCTACAGGGAACACAAACAGCACGCTCGGCTCTCAACAAAACTGTTCTTGAAAAAAAAAAACAACCAAAAAAAAAAAATAAAAACCTGAAGGTCCCGCAGGCAATTTTGGTTTCAAATATTGCTTCCCTTTGCCTGTTATTTTTTCCTGTGTCCATGGGAAAGAGCTCTAGTCAATAAAGATTTAATCTAGTGGATGCTTAATAATGAAAATCCCTGCAGTCTGTTTCACTTGTTCACGGAAATATGAGATACCCCTTACTAGAAAATATTTTCTGTTTGAGAAAAAAAAATTGTGGAAGCTATTAGGATTTGGTAAAGTCGTTGCGCATTCTGTATCATGTTATAATGTCATGAAAAAAAAAAAAAAGGAAATACAGTGAACCCTGTTCATTGCAGGGGTTAATGCATGCACTCCAAAAGAGTATTAGTTCGCCACCCTTCCATCGTATGAACAACAAATGACGATTAACGCAACTGTACCAACGATGGGGTGGAGTGACTTCCACAAATAAGCATTTACGGCGCTGCTCGAGCTCGGAGCATGGATGCAAAAAAGAAGTGACTCACGTCTGGTGCGCTCACCTGTTCCAGTTTGAAGGTGTGCTGATTAAAGTAGTGCTGGAGCCGCTCATTGGCAAAGTTGATGCAGAACTGCTCAAAGCTGTTGTTCTCGTAGTCCTCAAAACCAAAAATGTCCAATACTCCGATGGACAAAATCTACAAGACCATAAAATGCTTGTTTGGATTCAGTTAACAACTGAGATTCATCAAATCAATTGTAAAAACAGATTTTTTTTTTCCTCCCTTTGTTTTGTATCGAGGAGGCTGGGGCGAGGATAGACGATACACCCGCTACTGGTCGCCAAACAATCACAGCAGATTCACTTCAGGCCTGACTCTCTGCCCATACTAATCACGTGCTGTTCTGCCGGCAGGCATGTCTCTAGTGATCTACCTTGGCGGGTTCATCCAGGTCCTTGATGTTGAGCAGGGCATGGTTGATCCTGAAGACAATCCAGTCAAAGAGTGCACTGTACAGCGACTTTGCCATGGAGTCTCTCACTGTACCAGCCTGCAAGTACATACACAAACAGACAGTAAGATGGAGTAATGTACCAGGCCTTGGCTTCTCCGGTGCCACTTAAGGATTCTTGGGGGTTTAAACAGCTTCAAGCTGCTTAGTTAAGCTGTTTTTATTTATGACTATGTCTCGTTTCTGTTTAATTTTAGGGGCTTACACCTGGCCAAAGGATAACTGTACACCCACTGACAAGAACATAAATAAGAGCCAAATAGAGTGAAAGACAACATACATTGAATGGTTTGAATCAAAACACACAAACAGAAAGCGTGGACAAATAGTGCCTAAAGCCAAATGAAATGCCAATATTTCAATATTGTATGTGTACTATGTAGAACTCCATACTGACGTAACCTAAGTAAATATCGCAAACTGGTTTCCAAGAAACTTGGGTGAACAAAGGTTTGATTAAGAGTGAGTTTATTTCATGAAAGGCCCCTTGTCAAATTATCGAGGAAAAACAATCTAATTCACATTTTCGATGGAAAGCTTTGACCTTTCAGTCAGGAAGAGGAGTCTGTCTTTAAAAAGAAAACAAACTTCAGAATGGTGACTGAAAGCAATAGCTCCCTTTTCCCCAAATAATCAACCAAGTAAGATGTCATTCGAAAAACTCCAAAGAGGAATACATCAATTTAAACCTCGACAAACAGTCTCTCCCTCTCTCTCTTTAATCAGTCAGAAGCGTTTCATTATTTAGAGGAAGTCCGACTCCAAACATTCCGTATTCCAACAACATCACAACTCTGAACCAAATGACAAAACCCTTTCAAGAAGTTCTTTGAGGCTTTAACGCCAATGAATTGATTTAAAAGGCAAACCGCATTGTTGCGCTCTTCAGCAGTATTTATGATGAGGCCACCCAGTGTGCAGCAAAAACAATCACAAGAGGCCCCAAACATTTGGGAAGTTGTGACCGTTTTGACAAGAATGTGTACAACATTGTGCCTTAACGTTGGGACACTTTCTTTGGGATGAGAATATTTTTTGGGGGGCAAGCTCTTGATTAAATCAAACTGAAGCATGTGCTGAAGGAAGGGCGACTGACACTCCTGAAATATCAAATACCGAACGGAAGATGCTGTGAGGAATGCATGAGCCGGTGTGTTTGCATGAGCCTAGAGGCATCCATGGACAGTACTAAACATATTTACTACAACCGTGATTGAGCCAAAGCACTCATTTTACATGATACACATCAGTACAGTACCGTATATATAAAAAAAAAAAAATGAATACAAAATATTTGGATAATTACCGATGCTGTAAACGTAAGGCTGCTCTCGCATAAACCAGACATTGGGCTGTGATCTAATCAATTTGTTAAGCCGTGTATGTCCTTTGACTCATTCAGATGGCTCTCATCTGCAGACCATGACTTTTGTTTGTTTTCCAAGCAAGGTTCCCAATGAAAACCATGCAGGGGCTTGAAAAGTCTTTCCGTCTCTAAACACACTAACAGACTGTGGGTGTGTGAAAGCGTGCGCGCGCGCGCGTGTGTGTGTGTGTGTGCGTGCGTGCGTGCGTGGTTTTTCATGTGCGGCCACAGACTGGCGGAGCAGGATTAAGAGTGCAAGAGGAGATCTGCTATGGGTCCAAGTTGTCCTGTAAACATGTCCAGGTCAGGCTCGAGAGCCGAGTTATTGAGTTGGCAACGCGCCCCCAGACACACTGCACACCAAGACAGTCATTTTGCGCTCAACCACAATCAAGTCATCTGTACATTCTGTACATACCTGACTGACTATAATGCATATTTATGGTTGATACCACTTGAGGAATCCTCACCTCTGCCAGTTTGTAGGGGACAATCAGCTTTTCGCCCACAGTAATGGTCTTCCGTGTTGTCAGAGCTTCAATCAGCATTTCTTCTTTGACCTGACCGTGACATGAGCAGATATAATCATTCCATCTGCTTGAAGCCACAAAGTGCAAGAATAAATCCATCCTCATCACAGAGATTATGTTTTGATTTGTTTATTGTATTGAATGCCAACATTTATCCGGGTTTATTTCGGTGCAGGATGACAATCTTTGCATTCAGTATCACTGTACAGCAAATGCCTGCAAACAGTACTGCGGGTATGGAAGCTTGTCAGGAGACAAAATGAATTGAATACTTTCAATAAAGTTGGGCAGCCACGTTTAACCCAAATAAGAACTCCATTCTCTAATTATCCACAAACAATAGTTGCCTCCTGTCCAAATCACAATCGGGGCGTGGTTCTCGTCACTGAGCAAAAATCAGTCTCAATCATAAGGTTCATAGGGCTCCCACACGTAATCACTAACTACTGTACCCTGCCAGAAAATGAAATAAACTTTAGGTCGAAAGTAACAGCAAGTGAATGATTTAATGAGCAATGAAGGATTACCATTGCATCTGGCCAGCACTGCAACTGAGAGCCACAGATGATACCACTTACATCGCTTCACAAAAATGACCAAACCGTATTATGCATGCCTAAATGGTGACTCTCACAAAGACTCACAGCACTGTTGACAGTGAGACTCCATCTTTTCCAAAACAAAAAGTAATGAAGAAAGCCATCTTGCTCCAATTGCGTTCAGCATCATCTTTAAATCTTAGCGCGATGATAAGCAATTCTTGTAATTGTTTACTTTGGACCTTTTTGACTTTTGACACAAACCCATGCTGCAGATTTTAATTCCACTTCCTCAGTATCCGTGCTGATTAGCCAGAGCAGACGTTCACAAGAGTAAATGTGGAAACACTTTTCGGTGTTTAGCTTTTCAGCACAGCATGATCGAGGAGTACCTGCAGGAGTTCCGAAACCACAGGCAGCACCTCTGGGTTACAGATGTCAATAGAGTCATCTCGGTAGGTTTTTCTCTTGTAGCGAATGTTGCCCAGGTGGAGGATGGCAGATAGCAAAGAGAAGATCCTAAAAGAAAAGTTGAAATAAAAATGGGTATGTACTGTACAATGTCAGTTGCATTGATTATGGGGGGAAAAAAAACTAGACCAGTACACGCTAAGGATACATAAAGTTAAAAACTATTTCAAAAAATGTTTTTTCCCTGAACTAGACTACAACTTCCAGGGAGAAAAAAAAAACATTTCTGTACTTTGTACAGATGCAGTGTTGATAAAATTGTTTGTGGGATTAAAAAAAAAAAAAAAAAAAAAATCAAAACTTCTTCCAACATTAATGGGACTTTTTAATTACAATTTCATGTTTATTTTAATTTTTTTGAGAGTGGAAGTAAAAATAACTAAAATTCTGTGGTTGCATCAGGGGTCTACCAAACATATTTCAGGGTAAAAAAAGAATGTGTGTCCTATATCTTTATTTGTTTCACAAAATTCATGTAAACAACTTTAAAACTGTATAACTGTGGCCAAAGGGAATGTGGATTTGTGTCTTCATCATCAGTTTATGGAACATTGTAAAGCCTACTGGACTATCGTGTTGACAACGCAAGACTTCTTTTTCCGCGGCGTAGTCCAAAAAACAGAAGACCTTGACGACTATTCAGTCTGTAAGCTTTGCCCAACAGGGAGTGGCGTTTCCCGGCCTAAACATACACTAAGACCTCAAAAGGAGCACCAAGTGTGCTGTGAAAGTGCCGAGACGGCCATTACGCCCGCTGGAGTAGCTAGGGGATCGATACTGTTTGAGCTGATACCGCTTAGATTGATTCCTACGCTTCAAACATCCATACGGTTGAGACTACAGAGTATATCGGTACTGGTGGTATCGATTGGCATCTCTCCCCCCCCCCCCCGACTTTGAGTGCGTACGTGCTTGCATGGTGGGTGGGTGCATGTCCATCACTCACTGTTTTCGCGTGTAAGGAAGAAAGCCCACCATCTCCATCCCCAGCTGAAGCCTCTCAAAGTCATGCTTCAAATCCTCTCCTTCAACTGTGAAGCAGTCCTGCAAAATGTGGAAACCGGGAGTCGTTACTCTCACTGACACTGCAGCAAAGGGCAACGTGCTATCAAGTGGAGAAGCACTTACTGACACCGCTGAAATAAACCCCGCATTAATGTTTTTGTGTTTACAGTCTCTTGCTAAGATGTTTAAAAAAGGGGGATTTTTATTTAGACTGGAGAGTGGAAGAGCAAAACGGTGGTCTCAAGCATCATCGTGAGCATTGGGCCATGCTGACAAGACGGCTGACAACAGCTGAAGGGAACATTCACCGGCCAGAACATGAGGAAGACAATCTCATGTTGTACAATACAGAAATAACTTGAATGCCACTCAGTCAACGGGAAGGGTACCGGTAATCTGTATCCAAAATGTGTACCCAAATGAAAATCTGTTTTAACTAAATGACAGAACTAACGACCTAAACTCACTACTGAAGTCTACAAATGGTAGGTAGTTTTGTCAGAAGGATTTCATAATTTATCTGTTCCTCTCATAAACCAAATGAGGTGCCAACGATATCATACATATAGTTCCATATGATGCAGTGAAGTGCAACACAATACAAATATAATTACCGGTACTATAAATACCTTTCTGACAGTGTATTTGTGACGGACACCAAAATGTAATGCGGCTTTTGTATTCCATATCTATGGATTGTTATGTTGTGGCCTGTAGGTTTACAAAATATGCTGCGGACAAACAAAAAGAGCAGCCGACAAGTATGAAAACTACTTGCGCTCCAAACCGCTTCTTTGCTTTATGGGTCTTTCCACTATGGTTGCTATAATCATCACATTCCGAGGCGTCGGAAACGCAAACGTTCAAAATGTGAGAGTCACACTAGAGCTATTAAGCCTTTTTCCTGCATCACTGAACAAGAACAAATGCCTGGTCGATGAATACATACATGCTAAGCCATAACCAGTTGCTCAAAAACTGTTCTGGGATAATTTAGTGATCCTCATTACTATTTTCTATATCTTTTTTTCATTATTTGTATGACAGTTGAGCTGTGGCGGAGCCCAGCTGACTTCGGGCCCGAGGCTGCAGGCTGCACCCTCGACTGGTTGTCAGCCATTCGCAGGACACGAGACCATTCATAGCCACATTCACACCTATGAATAATTAACTGAACATTTATGTTTTTCGAATGCAGGAGGTCGCCGCAAAACCCGGAGAAAACCTGCACAAGTACGCTGAGAACGTGCAAACTCCACAAAGAAAGCGGAGGCAAAGAATCAAACAGAGGCGCTCCCAATGTGTGAGGCAAACATGCTAACCAGTACACCGCGCTGTAGTCGTTTGCTTCACGATTTGCAATATTCCTGTTTTATGGTCCTTTCCTTTTTCAAACTGAAAAAAATCAAAATCACACTCCCATCCAGACAGTATGGAGTATCTCTGAATGACAAAACGACTTCATGCAGACAGAGTGCCGCAATGTATAGGTGAAGTTTGTGAGCAAATCATTTCACCTGAGAAGAGAGTGTGTTTCAATAACCAAAATGTAAAAAGAAAAGAAACATTGCTGACATTATCCATTCTTGGAACTTCTGACTGGCAAATAACTCATCCCCACATGTAAACATTCCATCGTTCACTGGTGAGTGAACACCTTACACAAATATGAGCGTGTGCTCCGCTACTTTTCTACACTTCCTTTTACGCTCCATAAATCAGAATATTATATTTGACCCAGATCTAAAGTCAATACGGCATCTCTTGCGAATTTCTCCATTGTGAGACAAAAAGTTCTTCCGATCTTATCTTGAGTAGTGCTGGAGTGGAGATTCACATCTTGGACTAGAAACAAAATTGCAGCAACTTTCTTATTCCAACCCGTTGATGATGTAAAAAGCATTTTGAAAATAGTATCAAGTCCCTTGAAAATGAATGAAAATAGTTGAAATAGCAAATGAGGGTACACATATTGGTGTACCTGTTCAAGGGTAATGGTAGGTTTGAGGAGAATTTAGTAACGTTGTTACTTTAGAAGGAAATTACCTTTAAATGTATTTTGAATGGATGATGACGGCAATGATTGCTTCAATTGACTTGCATTGTTATTGTGATCTTGGCTAACAAATTAAAAAAAAAACGTATTCACTACAAAAGATGAAGGTCTTTTTGCTGTGACTTCCATTTTAAACACTGAACATACTAACTAATGGGAAGTGAGAGCCTCACCCAATCTTGAAAGTGAATCATAAATCCGTAGAGGCCAGAACTATTTCAACCATTTTTGGAATCAAAGACAAAATGCTGTGTTTTTGTCTCAGGTCACCCTGCAAATGTAATCTTTGCAGATTTGCAATTAAGACAATGGTGAAAAAAAAACTCCTTGTGGATTTAAAACGGGGAGCATTTTGTGTCACAAAAGAAATATTTGAATGCCAAAGTAGCAGTTTCCCCTTGAACGTGGGCCAGACGATGAACCAGCAGGTCTACAAAGAGATCCTGTGGCATTTGCTTCGTTCAGTGCGCGTGAGGCGGCGAGAGAAGAAGCAGGACAACTCGTGGCTGCTTCACTCTGACAAGGCGCCTGCTTACAAAGCCTTGCGCATCTGACACTTCATGGTTGAAAAGAACATCACGAGGCAGGAGACCCCTCGCTCGTCACACGACGTGGCTCAGTTGATTTCTTTCCTCAAACCAGAGAAGGCTGGAAAAGTGTGTTAAGACTCCAACAACATTAGTTCAAAAGGGGAAAACTTGTTCGGGTTTCGGATTTGAAATATGTCTTTTGTGACACCGGTTCCGGATTTTTTTCTGACACACCCTGTATCCGTTCCATGACAAAACGGGTGTAATTTCCAAAAAACTGCACAAAACAAATACCTTCCTGCAGGTCTGGTTAAATGTATTTATGTGACTTAGGGAGGGGACCTTATTTCTGGAGGGTGGATGAATTTACGACCATCATAGGGAAAAAAAAAAGGATTGCAGACAAGAGATTCACAGTGGTCAGGATATGATCAGACATACCGACATCATTCCAAAAGGCAACAACTGGGAAAATAAGGACAGATACAAAAAAAAAAACATGACCCGAAGCAAACCAGGAAATACCCAAAAGGCGCAAAAAAACAAAAAAAAACCTGAAGCAGAAAGGCAATGTGCCGCGGCTTCTATGGCTTCTCGAAAATGTACGTGTACAACTGACACTCAGATACTGACCGCTTCGCTCTCACAGTAACTGTCCCAGTGCAGTCGGTGGGTTCTCTTTGTCATCTGGAAATGTTAAGGTAGAGTTTACAGAGCATGAGGTTAGAATTAGACAGCGGCATTCCATGATGACATAATCCATTATCGACTTGAACACGTACAACACACACAGGTTACTCACAGTAATCAACATGCAGTTAAAAAAAAAAACATGAGAAATGGTTGCACGTCACATACACGTACAGACTTGGACATACAGTACAAGCACATAAAATGAAAGCTGTTGAACACTGGTTTTAGAACAAAAACAGCAGTCGTATTTTCCCCGAAGCCCACTATGAGTTTTTAGGATTTATTTCCGACATTCAAGTATCTTATCATTACCCATTCGTTAGAGGATGTATAAAGACTATGTTACTAATAAAAACTTGAAACTTGCTGGGTATTCACACTAATGCCATTAGAGATTGGCAAGTGACACATTTTTCCTTTATTTTAATATTCAGAATATTTCTCTCGACTGGTTGTAGGGACAACTGCTTTGCCTCAGCTGCTTGACGACACAAACAATCAACAAATAATTCTAAATGATTAATCCACAGAAGTGTCCCTTAAATCTGGACACATAGTGTGGGGGGTGGGGGAATGCTAATTTTCAAGAAATGACATTTGCAACATTTTATTCAACAGGAATATTGATACATAATATCTACAATTTGATTCCCAATATTTGTGATGCAAAGGTTGCTGTCCTTTTATGATTGCTGTCAATGTCTATGTGTTCAGACTTTTGGGACATTCTGTATTATTCTACCAACCCCTAATCGCCCCCTGAAAAGTTAACTTGGTAAGTCAGCTACGACTATTGTAGTTCCTTTTACTTGCACTAGTCTCTTACACAGATGATTTGTAGAGTCATCGACAGTTTTAAAATTCCAAATGAGTCCTTGTGCTGCCAGTTTATGGCTATGCTTAACCATTTTCGTAATTATGACGATTCAAATTCTCGACGATTAAAAAAAAAACAATACTCGAAAACTCATAGTTTGCTTAGGCAACGCTTGCAGTAATAGTTCCAGTCTTTAAAATTAGGAGTAATGCAAAAGGAGGAAGATGCAAAACAGCCATTTTGTCACCCTGACAGTGTCAGGATCCAATGAAAACAGAGTTATGAATGTGGACAAACGAGTGCTAATCCCGAGCCTGTTTTAAGGCGTCTGAAAACAGGTTGCCCTTACTTGGCCGTCATGAGGGGGTTGTGAAATCTATCCAAGGGTGTGCATTTACACTTCACAGAAGAGACGTAAGGAGAACAAGCAGCATCCAAAAGAGGAAGATCATGAAGAGGGTGCAAGAATGTGGTAGAATTTATGTATGCATGCGTGTTTGTGTGTGCAGTTCAGGGATGAGGAGGAATGAACGGAATTCCCTGCTCCTCTCAGCGTAGGCGATTTCATGGGAGGGGAGGAAGTCGCCGGTAGTCATTGGCGTGGCTGTCAAAGCTCCGAGGCAGTGACACGTTGTACACATGTTATGTTTTACACAACATTCCATAAGGGTGCCGTGTATGTGACTTGATTGTTCTGTTACTTCCAACCTGTTTTGCTGATGAGCTGACGCACATTTACCATTTGTCGACATGTGTGTCAGTGTTGGAGTAAGCGTAAGAGTGTGCGTGTGTGCGCGCACGTTTTTTCCCCCTATTTTTTTCCCCTCGTCACACCAATCGACATACAGCAAACGCAAGCACACTGAACTCTTAAAAAGCGCAAAAACAAACACACCGCTCCCAGACAAAACTACATTTTCTATCTGATCCAACAAAGTTCAACTTTGATCAGAATACCCCCAAGCCAGCCAGGGACAGTACATGAGCTTCTATTGCTTAAAATGAAAGGCTCTACTTTAAAGGATAGTAACAGTGAGTCCTACCTGACTGAGGTAATGGTATTCTTCAGGTTTCATGAGGTGAAAAGCAGCCCTTTCTTCTTCACTCGCTCCTGCCAGCAGGTAGTAAAACACATGGTAGTTTCTAGAGGACACAACAGAGTAACCTTATTTAGATATTACTTCAACGCAAAAAAAAAAACAAAAACAAAAGGAGATATCTGTAACAAAGATCATCATTATGTTCCCTTTAAGATGCTTATTAATGGCCAAAACTGGAAAAAAAAACATCAGGCTTTTGTCAGAGATGGGTGGGGGGCTTATTTACATGACAAGTAGAGATTATCTTTTGGTGTTAAATATAAACAACACTCTCGAGTTTTACAAGATTTCACAAATGGATGATTCTCGGCCAATGGTTTTGCAGCAATTAACAATGTATGTCACAGGTTATTTTTTTCCCCAACAAATTAAAGGTCAACTGTAAAGTATTTTTAGAAAATCCCAAATACAATTTTTTTTAATGTCAGAATTAATGAAATAAAATTCGACAAAGTAATCGTTTTTCCGAAATGAGATGCTGAGCGACAAACCATTCGGAAAGTGTACAAAACCAGCCAGAAATCGATTCGGAAAGTGACGTTTCAAATTATTTGAGGAGTGGAGATGAGACCTAGACTAGGCTGCTGTTATTAGCCTCGCTTTATTGTTTGCAATTCAATGATATGCTGTAAATTATGCACAATGAGATTATCTACTCTGTCCATGTATTCTCGCTAGCACTGAGCGCACACGTCATAGTGGGTTGCTGTCCGACATTGCCATTGCTGAAGTAGTTCTGCTGCGTTGTAGGCCACTCAGCACATTATATCGGCAGCATTGTAAACAGTTGTCAACCATTACAGAGGATTCCATCCATGCACTCATATACTGTAGTTTGAATGTTTGCGTACAGTATTATTTGTACAGGACACGTATAATCCTTTGAATTTTCATAAACAGAGTTACTCATTGATGATCATACGTACCTTTTCTGCAAATCTCGGTGAGCTAACACAGGTCTTCTAAGTGGTCGTAACAAAGAATGCTCGTCAACACCGGGGTGAAATTCATTCGCATTGAGAGAATGAAACTGTCGTTCAAATTTTCTGGTCCTTTTACATGCCCAATTCTTTTCTTTTGGCCACTCAAACAACTGTTTGGCTGAGTGTGAACTGTGCATCACCACACAGCGCCGAGGCATTTTGCCGAATAACTCGGTAACAATGGCAAAGAGCAGTAAGTACAACGGCTGACTGGCACATTCTGTCAGTGACGTCACTCGCCGGAAATTGCCAAACAAAAGCATTGTCATTGCGTTGCTATGGGTCTAATTATGAATCTGGGTGGCTTACGTTAAAAAACAAAGACATGCTGAAAATAGTTTTTGCTCCAAGTATTACTCAAAATATGGTTGGCCAAGTTTACTTCACTCTTGACCTTTAAGTCTTCGCTGGTATTATTGTAGGCAACAAATGATGAGAGGAGAAAAGTGACACACTCAAAACTTTTCTATCATCTTTGTGATAAACATCGTCTTATCGCGCGCGCATTTCTACCAAAAAGTGAATATTATCGTATAAGTATTGAAAAAAACCCACAAAGTTATAGATGTTTTGGGGTGACTTCACATTTCAACACACATTACATAATGAGGACCCAATGCACCACTGGAACTTCCTGTAACACATATCCCTATGATTTAAGTTTGGCAAGCTGCCTTTCGAAGAAGCACTTACCGCTCATTGTGCTCCTGATAGACCAACCTTGACTTCTCCAAGAGGTACTTCTCCACATAGGCTCTGAAACGATGATAGATATTCATTTATTTATTTCAAAATCATCATCATCATCATCATCATCATCAGTAAAATGCATCATACATTTTTTCTGGTTCCTTACCCTCTCACAGTTCCACTCTCCTGGTAGTTAACCTGGATGAATTTGCCGAAGCGGCTGGAGTTGTTATTGTGGGCTGTCTTCGCATTGCCAAATGCCTGAAGAGGAAACAGAGAAAGACACAGGGGTAAGAACAAAACTTATGTCGGACAAATGCAGGGGCAGTTACGGGACAAGTAGAGACATAGTGTATTATCTGAAACATTGAGTTTAGTGCCAGAGGTCAAGGGGCATGTTTGAAGCAGAATGGACGTGTGAAGAACTCATTTGCAGATCGAGCGTGCATGGAGTTTTGAATTTGTGCCCAGCATTGTTGAAATGCTGTCAGTCAGGATGGCGCAGGGCAGGCTTTTCCTCTTGCGTAGTTTCAAACAGTGTCAGTCGGAGACAGAAGAATAACATTGTTTTAGGGTCGCAATCAGAGAAAAACAAATTGGCAGTGTAAGCTTGGCGTTGCACTACTCTTTAAAAAGTAATAAATGCATAACATTAAAAAAAAAAACCAAAAAAAAAAACGATTAATGATGGTCCGTGTGGCCATGTGGAACATGTAGCGGTTGTGCCTTTGTAGGATGCAAGCGTATTTCCCTTTACCACTGTTGATGTTGTATGGCTGCCTGCAGGGCAAGGACTATTTCGCCCTCGATAAACCCTCTGCAGTTATTTGTAGCTTTGCCACGAGTAAAACAATTCCTTGGTGAATTACTGAGGGCTGCTGTCTGTCTGCAGAATGAGAATACACCCCTGCGTGACCCAACCCTGTACCAGTGCCATGAACATGGTGTCTTTCTTGCAAACATATACTCAAAGATGGGAGTAAGAGCAGTTGAAGTTCCTATCAGCGAATTAAACAGCATCCAAAGTCCAAGAAAAACCTTAATTGGGAATGAACTGGAAGAGAACACCGTGTTTACATTTCGCTGGCTGGGCTGGTTGGCTTCTCAAGAAAATAGCACTACATTTGCATTGTTTTAGGGTCGCAATCAGAGAAAAACAAATTGGCAGTGTAAGCTTGGCGTTGCACTACTCTTTAAAAAGTAATAAATGCATAACATTAAAAAAAAAACCAAAAAAAAAAACGATTAATGATGGTCCGTGTGGCCATGTGGAACATGTAGCGGTTGTGCCTTTGTAGGATGCAAGCGTATTTCCCTTTACCACTGTTGATGTTGTATGGCTGCCTGCAGGGCAAGGACTATTTCGCCCTCGATAAACCCTCTGCAGTTATTTGTAGCTTTGCCACGAGTAAACAAATTCTTCGGTGAATTACTGAGGGCTGCTGTCTGTCTGCAGAATGAGAATACACCCCTGCGTGACCCAACCCTGTACCAGTGCCATGAACATGGTGTCTTTCTTGCAAACATATACTCAAAGATGGGAGTAAGAGCAGTTGAAGTTCCTATCAGCGAATTAAACAGCATCCAAAGTCCAAGAAAAACCTTAATTGGGAATGAACTGGAAGAGAACACCGTGTTTACATTTCGCTGGCTGGGCTGGTTGGCTTCTCAAGAAAATAGCACTACATTTGTTGTTTTAGCTACAAACCCCTTCACAAATAAAGCCAACCTCACAATGGGTCGTCCTGTCTTCAAAAAAATACCGTATGCATACACCAATTCGTGCTAGAGTATTCACAGGTGGATAACAAAACAGTAGTAGCCCAAGAGACCACAATCGTCACATTTCTCCATAAATTGAAGCAAGAATCAGACAGGGGGTGGTATGGATGCTAACAGCTGCGTCTGATGCAAAAGTGTGACATCATACTAGCGCAAGACCGTATCATCAGCCAGTGTTCAACCAACTGAGTGAGACAAATGCTGCAGGAATTTTCCACAAAAAAGCTTCTTACAATTCTCTCTCTGCGTCTCCAATGAGAATGTTTTATATTCTTCCCACTGTCGCACAATGACAGCTCTCTATTGACCAATCAATAATAGACTTCAATATGGCTCACCACACCCTGGAACAAAAACGACTGAAGCAGGAGAAAAGGATTGTTAGTTGCTGTTCTTTACAAACAGTAATGCTGAAAAAGTTGGAAAATTATATTTGATATTGATAACTGTAGATCATTTTCAATTTTTGATAATAGGATTGGAAAAAAGGTTCAGAAACTGATGAAATATTTTTTCCTGGGGGTAAGGGGGGGGGGCGGACATGGCTTCAGGCATAAGAGTATGAATAGAATTTTTTTTGCCAACTCGAATTTTTTGGCGGGGAAGCTCAACCTTTCCATTCAAGGGAGACCAGAAGAATTTAGAGACATTGGCCTCTCTGCTCCTTTCACATCCTGGCTCACAAACACAGGATAACTGCCACAGACTTGTCCTTCATGAACTTTCTCTGAAATCACTGGAATCAGTATAATTGCACACACACTCCATCACTTCCCGCGAACTAAGTGGTCTAATGGAGGAGGAGTTAGTATTCTGCTCACATTCTGGCTGGTTCAGGAAGTCGAGGTCAGACAAGGATACAATACAATTAGTCAGCGTCCTCATGCTAAGTCCAGCCAATGGAAAAAAACTAAAAAACATGCAATACTCTCACTGCATATGCTCAGTAAAGAGGAATTTTTATTTATTTTTAACAATTTGGCGTTTAGCATCAGTGATGGGGCTTGTAGGGAGTAACTTGCATAGATGACTTTTGCTGACAGCCGTATTCATCTGGCATCTGCACTGTGCAATAAACGGTACGTTTTCCAGACATGAGAAGCTACAACTCCGAAAGGGGCATGCAAACTAGTGTACTATGTAATTCTGCATATTTTGGAGCAGAGGGCGGCCCGGTGCTCCAGTGGTAAGCGCATCGACATCACAGTGCAGAGGTACCGGGTTCGATTCCAGCTCCGGCCTTCCTGTGTGGTCTTTGCATGTTCTCCCTGTGCCTGCGTGGGTTTTCTCCAGGTACTCCGGTTTCCTCCCACATTCCAAAAACATGCACGGCAGGCTGATTGAACACTAAATTGTCCCAAGGTGTGAGTGTGAGCGCGGATGCTTGTACGTCTCTGTGTCCCTGTGACTGGCTGGCAACTGGTTCAGGGTGTCCCCTGCGTACTGCCCGAAGACAGCTGGGATAGGCCCCCAGCACACCCTGTGACCCTTGTGAGGATAAAGCGGTTCGGAAAATGGATGGATGGATTTTGGAGCAGCCGTGGCCAAGATCGTCACCTGCAACCGGTGGGTTAAGCAGTCACTTACTCCAGCATGTGCCACTTAAAGAGTGTGGATTTTCTGTTTCCACAACTCTGATGTGTTAATTGCGGAGGAAAAATTTCAGAAAAATAAAGATGTTGATGATTCTTCTTCTTTCTATATTGAGTTTCTATTATTATTATTATTATGATCCCTTTGTAAGTAAGCATGAAAAAAATGAAACATTCCACCTCAGAATGAAAACGGCACTCACGTCCTTTCAAAAGAGGCAGTGATTCTTCTTCCACAATCCAAAACTGCTTTAACATTGTGTGTGACATGCTTTCCTCAAAATGTCTGAAGGATCAAGAACTAAATAGCACATTGAGCACTTATTTTAGGTGTATACAGCACCTATTTTTTGTCTTGTCGAATAATCTCATTTTGAGAGGGAGTCCCTATCCCATGCGAGTGAGCTAGCCCTTGTGAGCACATGCAAGGCTTCTATTTCCAGCACCAAATCATGACCAAGCAACCAAATTACACGTTGTCGATTAGTGTGCATGTCACAGGAGAGATATCCCCAAAGAACAAATACACGCTCACCCGCATGGCGCCTGAAATGTCACCCAGCAACCAAGTGCGGTGGAACCTCGAGTTACGAACAAGTCTTTTTAGGTACAATCCCGAGTTCTGTGCAAAGTCTTCATAGAAAGATGACCTCTATTTATATCCTACTTTTGATATACAAACCATCTTGGCATGAACGAGTTGATGGACCTATGTTGTGTTTCGATGTGCATTAGACATTGATGACAGCTTAAATAGTAATTGTCTCCCTCCACAGCTTCAGGCAGAAAAAAAAGAGTTGCATATGTAGCTGGATATTCTACAATCAAAAAAATATATTTAAAAAAAAAAGATCAAAAGAAATCTGTCGAGAATTAATCTTTTCATTGACAATGTGACATCCCGCTTTATTTTTTTTTTTCAGTAAATGACAAATTTCCCTGAATTGGAATGCCAAAATCAAGTAATGAATTCGAAAAAAAGAATAAAAAAAAAACAAACAAACAAAAAAAAAAAAACACTTGAATTTGATTTTCTGAAGGTTAAAATAGAAGAAGACTTTCTTCAGTGGAGTAGCTGGAGTCCTCTTCACGTTTTCCAACTTCTCTGGTAAAGTTAGTTAGCAATAAATAGGGTTTTTTTTGTTTTTTTTTTGTAAGTGTTTCATGTCTTTGTTATAACATGTTTTCACTTTTTTCTATATTGCTGCTTTTTAACCACACACTCAAAAAAAAAAGTGTAACTTAATTTTGGGGCTGGAACAGATAAATTGCATTTGTGTCATCTCAATGGGAAATGTTTATCAACAGGCGCTGGGAACCAATTAAGTTCATAACCACTGGTTCTGCTGCTTCTACCTGTTGGCTTTGTCACAGTGAAATTCGGTCATGCTTTGAAGCGGTTTTGGAGTTTCCCCTCAGTTTGGCTCCAGAGTCCTGGCAAAGAACCTCGCTGTACGGATGCTTATTCATTGATCACTAAAGTAATGCGACCTAGAAATCAATTAAGGACATGTTCCTGTTGAAAATCTTTCTTAATCACACAGTTGAATGTGGTGAGAACAAAATCACATAAAAATGATCAAGGTTAAATGAAATCACTATCCCGTAAGTCTCTGGCTTTCGAATCTTAAAAGTCAAAGTGGAAGCTCTGAATACAGGCTGAAGCAATTTCAGTGGAAATTCCTCAGGACAAGTCAAAATCAGGCTCAGTCATGTGTGTGTGTGTGTGTGTGTGTGTGTGTGTGTGTCCTGCTCGAGGCCTGATGACCTCCATCTCTTGATGAGACGTCAAATTGTCTCCTGAGGGACTCCCTCCTAAAACTTGGACTAAAGCATCTGCCAAACCCTGGACAGTCTTTGTTGCAACATGGTGTTGATGTATGGAAT